AAACCAGCTCTGGTAGGTCCGTTTATCCATTGCATCCGGAGGGATCGAAACTATATTTCTGTTACCAAATGCCTCAGGAGTTAGATAACCAGAAGTAGGTCTTTTCCCCGAAGTGTAAGAAATTATGAAACTTATCATAATGTTAATGTCTTCCTCTGGTGTACAATACTTAAACGAAGCATTGCAGTGGTATACAATAATATATTAGATGCTTTGCAGTGGTATACAATAATATATGAGATGCTTTGCAGTGGTATACAATAATATATTAGATGCATTGCAGTGGTATACAATAATATATGAGATGCTTTGCAGTGGTATACAATAATATATTAGATGCATTGCAGTGGTATACAATAATATATGAGATGCTTTGCAGTGGTATACAATAATATATTAGATGCTTTGCAGTGGTATACAATAATATATTAGATGCTTTGCAGTGGTATACAATAATATATTAGATGCTTTGCAGTGGTATACAATAATATATTAGATGCTTTGCAGTGGTATACAATAATATATTAGATGCTTTGCAGTGGTATACAATAATATATTAGATGCTTTGCAGTGGTATACAATAATATATTAGATGCTTTGCAGTGGTATACAATAATATATTAGATGCTTTGCAGTGGTATACAATAATATATTAGATGCTTTGCAGTGGTATACAATAATATATTAGATGCTTTGCAGTGGTATACAATAATATATTAGATGCTTTGCAGTGGTATACAATAATATATTAGATGCTTTGCAGTGGTATACAATAATATATTAGATGCTTTGCAGTGGTATACAATAATATATTAGATGCTTTGCAGTGGTATACAATAATATATTAGATGCTTTGCAGTGGTATACAATAATATATTAGATGCTTTGCAGTGGTATACAATAATATATTAGATGCTTTGCAGTGGTATACAATAATATATTAGATGCTTTGCAGTGGTATACAATAATATATTAGATGCTTTGCAGTGGTATACAATAATATATTAGATGCTTTGCAGTGGTATACAATAATATATTAGATGCTTTGCAGTGGTATACAATAATATATTAGATGCTTTGCAGTGGTATACAATAATATATTAGATGCTTTGCAGTGGTATACAATAATATATTAGATGCTTTGCAGTGGTATACAATAATATATTAGATGCTTTGCAGTGGTATACAATAATATATTAGATGCTTTGCAGTGGTATACAATAATATATTAGATGCTTTGCAGTGGTATACAATAATATATTAGATGCTTTGCAGTGGTATACAATAATATATTAGATGCTTTGCAGTGGTATACAATAATATATTAGATGCTTTGCAGTGGTATACAATAATATATTAGATGCTTTGCAGTGGTATACAATAATATATTAGATGCTTTGCAGTGGTATACAATGGTATATTAGATGCTTTGCAGTGGTATACAATAATATATTAGATGCTTTGCAGTGGTATACAATAATATATTAGATGCTTTGCAGTGGTATACAATAATATATTAGATGCTTTGCAGTGGTATACAATAATATATTAGATGCTTTGCAGTGGTATACAATAATATATTAGATGCTTTGCAGTGGTATACAATAATATATTAGATGCTTTGCAGTGGTATACAATAATATATTAGATGCTTTGCAGTGGTATACAATAATATATTAGATGCTTTGCAGTGGTATACAATAATATATTAGATGCTTTGCAGTGGTATACAATAATATATTAGATGCTTTGCAGTGGTATACAATAATATATTAGATGCTTTGCAGTGGTATACAATAATATATTAGATGCTTTGCAGTGGTATACAATAATATATTAGATGCTTTGCAGTGGTATACAATAATATATTAGATGCTTTGCAGTGGTATACAATAATATATTAGATGCTTTGCAGTGGTATACAATAATATATTAGATGCTTTGCAGTGGTATACAATAATATATTAGATGCTTTGCAGTGGTATACAATAATATATTAGATGCTTTGCAGTGGTATACAATAATATATTAGATGCTTTGCAGTGGTATACAATAATATATTAGATGCTTTGCAGTGGTATACAATAATATATTAGATGCTTTGCAGTGGTATACAATAATATATTAGATGCTTTGCAGTGGTATACAATAATATATTAGATGCTTTGCAGTGGTATACAATAATATATTAGATGCTTTGCAGTGGTATACAATAATATATTAGATGCTTTGCAGTGGTATACAATAATATATTAGATGCTTTGCAGTGGTATACAATAATATATTAGATGCTTTGCAGTGGTATACAATAATATATCAGATGCTTTGCAGTGGTATACAATAATATATTAGATGCTTTGCAGTGGTATACAATAATATATTAGATGCTTTGCAGTGGTATACAATAATATATTAGATGCTTTGCAGTGGTATACAATAATATATTAGATGCTTTGCAGTGGTATACAATAATATATTAGATGCTTTGCAGTGGTATACAATAATATATTAGATGCTTTGCAGTGGTATACAATAATATATTAGATGCTTTGCAGTGGTATACAATAATATATTAGATGCTTTGCAGTGGTATACAATAATATATTAGATGCTTTGCAGTGGTATACAATAATATATTAGATGCTTTGCAGTGGTATACAATAATATATTAGATGCTTTGCAGTGGTATACAATAATATATTAGATGCTTTGCAGTGGTATACAATAATATATTAGATGCTTTGCAGTGGTATACAATAATATATTAGATGCTTTGCAGTGGTATACAATAATATATTAGATGCTTTGCAGTGGTATACAATAATATATTAGATGCTTTGCAGTGGTATACAATAATATATTAGATGCTTTGCAGTGGTATACAATAATATATTAGATGCTTTGCAGTGGTATACAATAATATATTAGATGCTTTGCAGTGGTATACAATAATATATTAGATGCTTTGCAGTGGTATACAATAATATATTAGATGCTTTGCAGTGGTATACAATAATATATTAGATGCTTTGCAGTGGTATACAATAATATATTAGATGCTTTGCAGTGGTATACAATAATATATTAGATGCTTTGCAGTGGTATACAATAATATATTAGATGCTTTGCAGTGGTATACAATAATATATTAGATGTTTTGCAGTGGTATACAATAATATATGAGATGCTTTGCAGTGGTATACAATAATATATGAGATGCTTTGAAGTGGTATACAATAATATATGAGATGCATTGCAGTGGTATACAATGGTATATTAGATGTTTTGCAGTGGTATACAATAATATATGAGATGCATTGCAGTGGTATACAATGGTATATTAGATGTTTTGCAGTGGTATACAATAATATATGAGATGCTTTGCAGTGGTATACAATAATATATTAGATGTTTTGCAGTGGTATACAATAATATATTAGATGCTTTGAAGTGGTATACAATAATATATTAGATGCTTTGCAGTGGTATAAATAATATATTTGATGCCGTAGTGGTATACAATGGTATACTTGATGCTTTGCAGTGGTATACAATACCATTTTTGATGATTTGCAGTGGTAAACAAGACCATGTGATGCCTTGCAGTGGTAACACATTTGTATATTTGATGCTTTGCAGTGGTAAACAACGGTATATTTGATGCCGTGCAGTGGTAAACAATGGTATATTTGATGCCGTGCAGTAGTTTATTATATCATATCTGTAGCTCCGCTGTAGTATACCTGTATATCTGTGTCCTGTATGGGAATACAATACCATATTTGATGCGAAATATTCCTATATTCAGTTGGTATTGTTTACAACCTTTTTTATATATTGTAGTGATATTCCATTCTATATTTGATGCCCTGTAGTGGTATTCAATTCTATAGAATACAATACTGCATTTGATGTGTAATTTCAGCCTAAAGCTAAGGTCTTTTTGACGTTATTATTTTCTGTCCTGTAATTCGATGCCTTTCATTATTACACCACACCACATTTGAGTTACTTTGCAACTCAATATTTCATTACAAAATATCATTGTTAAAATAACATGAATTACCAGGGACGTAGCAGTGTAGAAATTATTTTTCCCATTTCCCAAAAATATGTGGTTAATGAATGTGGCATCCAATTAAAATTGCGTACTTAAATCTATTATATCAATCCAATCTTATTAAGTTCCATATTTTTGTCATTCATCACCTCGATATGATCATTTATGTTGCCTCGACAATTAAAATATTGACCACTGTGTTTGGACAACACATGGCTGGACAGTGTCCATCAGGGTCTCTACATACAGCATTATGTAAAAGGGGCCATTCTACGCCTGTAGCTAGTCCTTGTTTGGAGTGGATTTATTTACAAGTAGGAGGCCTATAAGTCCGTCTTGCATCAGTTTGGACCTTCACCTTAAAGGGCCAAGCCATCAAATTTGGCACAGGTTCACGATACTAATGTCTGTAAAGTCTCATAAATAGTTAGCGTGTAGTTTTGTACAATACCTTGTAGACCCAACAAGCTCTGGTAATATATTGATCGAGGGCAGTTTGCAGTTTCTACACAAAGGACAGTATGTAACCTGCTTGTTATCAGAACGTAAGGATATTAATGTGAAGTTCATTTCAAGAGACATTGTTAATCACCTTGCAGTATAGCCGACTGCAAAGTTTTGTAGTACAAAGTATACCATTTTTTGCTTCAAATGTTTTCTTTTTAAATAATCTCGTTTTTAGATCACGATTCACTGCTAAAAAAATATGTGACATCTTTTCTATTTGTGTAAATTTGCAAATGTTCTTTCTTTGCAAATACAGAACATAGAAACAAGCAGTACTTAATCTGCTTTCTCAATATTAAATCAGTTGCAAAAAATTCAACTATACAGTAAAGTATCTTTCTCAATTTCTAAAATAAATTTCAAAGGTGAATCTATGGTCAATGCCTCCTCTCCTTAATCAATGGAACAGTACCAGCACAAAAGACAAATAGTACAAGTTTCGACCCACAGTTTAATCATCACATTTTTGTAACAATCAAATCGAGAGTCCCTCTTCACTGCTGCTGTTCTGATGGCATGTTGCGGATAATGTCGGAGTCACCTGTAAATACCAAAGGAGACAAATTAATTACGACCATAGCAAGCAATTATGTCCAGGTCCAGTACACTCTGCCGATTGAGCTATATAGCTATAAAGACCTATATACACCAATAAATTATAGCTGTATTGAGCTATATTTTCTCCGATTTCAATTTTCATTAAAATAAAGCAAAGTCGCATAAAACAATAAGGTTTTTGGTAATGGTGACTACAAAAAACATAGTTATCATTTTTCATAAATGTAAAATTTCCGATTTTTTTACATCATTATTTTTTAAAAAGAATACTTATATTTAATGTCTTTACTTATCAACCTAATGATGCAATCTTCTTTTATAAGCGACTGTTTTGTTTTCCTTAAAAAAGAAAATCGCTTGAAAATAGCTCAAAAGACCTATTATAGGTCTTGACAGCTATATAGCTCAATCGGCAGTGTACTGGACCTGATGTCACAAGTTCCAATGTTAATGGATAAGCATTTGTTTTATGCAATTTTACCAAAATAATGACTCAATGTTTATTAAACCAGATATAGCAGAAAATATTTTTGATGTCTGTGTCTCCCAAGACCAGTCGCACCGATATATATATACAGGTTGATTAGGTCAAGGGAGGCAACTCTCTGTCCCACAGGATGAACGTGTTCCCTTGGCTACATAACCAGGACACTGCCTGAATCTTGTGGTTAAATATTTGCTTCTGTTAAAAAATGCTGACAAAATATTAATATTCATCCCAAAAGAAAGGAAATAAGTCTACATTTCAATTATGAGACAATTCAAACACTAGTTTCCCAAACAACTGTATGTTTGCCGTACCTGGGTCTGTGATGCTGAGCGTGCAGACACGGAAGTATTTACCACAGGCGGTACCTAACTCTATGTTGTTGCCGGAGTAGTGGTGCACACCAGTCTTTGCCAACATAGCATAGTACTCTATCTCGCTCTTCCTGTCAACACAAAACATCATTTACTTCGGAAAGAAATCCACTCGTTTTACACGAGTCTCCAAGATATATTCAAATTCAGTTGTTACATTTCAAGTTAAAATTCTAATTTTATTCTAATAAAAATCTGAATGTTTCAATTGAATAAAAAAAAATCAATGATAATATTGGTACCTTTTCTCTCAAAACAATGTTTTCAACATTTCACAATTTATTCAGACCACACTCAGGGTATCGATTAGTCAAATTTGCCAAACATCCAGTCTCCTTAAACATCAAGGCATAAGCTTACCAACCGTGCCTATACACTTACAAACATTTTAACATGTTACCTTGCCTACCATAAACTCATGTGTTCTATGTCACCTGTCCAGAATGATCTTAGATGATCAAGAGGTCAAAGTTCAAACCTCAGCATTCCGTAATCCACTTTGTAAGCAGAAAGCAAACCAAGTGTAACAGGTTAATGACTTCATCTTTGCCCGATTTATTCAGACTCCGAAATCACAAAGAAACTGATACACAATACATTCTCTTGAAATAACATTACGTTGAAATTAAATTTCAAGCCTTACAATCTCTCCTTTTTCAGAATTAAAGTTTACTAATAAAAAATATTTCGGTTGTTTTTATTTGGAAAAGAAACCAAAGTTTTCTTGTAAAATTAATTGACGTTTTTCCTTGATTTATTTTTCCTCTTCATTTGAAAAATATTCAAAACTTTACCTTCAGTCGATGTTCATCATTTCATTGTTGGCAAGTTTATTAAGGTTGAACTTACCTTAAGGGTGGGGTGTTGTTGGCGATGATGACCAGCTTAGCCTTGCCCTGTCGGAGTGTCTTCAGCGTTTGTTTGTAGCCGAGGACATATTTGCCACTCTTCATAACAAGAGCCAGCCGAGAGTTGATGTTCTCGATACTCTTCTTCTACAATCACAAATAGAAAAATTCACAATACTATTTATTTGCAACATTTCAAGTTCAAAGGTTCCGTTGTTTCCATCTCAATTATGTTTCCCAGTTATTTCTATCTCATTTATGTTTCCCAGTTATTTCCTACTCATTTATGTTTCCCAGTTCATGCAATCAAAATACAATTTTCGTAAATCTCATAGAAAAGTGCAATTGTCAAATTAAACAAGTTCCAAATAAAAGGCATCCACAATTGTTTTTTAATCTCTTACAAAAATGTACAATCGTCGTAATGCAAGGCCCTTTCTAAATCATCCATTTACAAATTGCTGGATCCTGTAAGGCTACTTTTTGGCTACAACACCCTTCCTCCCCCCTTCTTTTCCATTGAAAAAATCCACGTGCTCGCCACATGGCAGCCATATTCACTTACGTTTTTTTTCGTTGGCGGCATTTTGAAGTTTTGGGCGAGATATGTCCTGAAATTAAGAAACAATTCTTATTAAAAATCAGTTTATTTAAAAACAAATCAATAATCATAGTTAAATCGTTATATTATATGCTATAAATCGACGAAAATCTTGAGCAAATTTTTCCACACCTTCTCGGTTCGGTCGACTGGTGAGAAAAGAACGATCACGTGGTATATCAGGCTGAGGTCACGTCTTTTCTCGCGAGATTGGACATTCCAGCGATGGCGGCGATGTGAAATATTCGCCGACACTGTTTCAAGACGATTTAATCTACTCTTATTAATACACAAGAAACAACATTCACAATGTTTGTGTATCTAAGTAAAAAGGTATAGGTTGTTTATAATGACATATTGTGTCTTTAACTACAGGGATACATCCGTGGAATAACATGTTACGCCTGGTTGCCAATGAAGCACTTGTTTACTCTCGCACAAAATAGCCATGGCATATTTTCGAAAATATATCTATATGTTATACTCCACAAAGACCAAAATGGCTCTAATGCGGACAAATGTTCTTGTCTGATTATTGATTTATGTTTTTCAAACAGGACTTAGTGAATGCGAATTGCTTATATGGAAAGGTGTTATCTAATAATATCTAAACAAATGAAATATGTACAGATTTATAAAATCAACTGCTTCTGAAAGTTTTTATTATCTACTAAGATAACAGGAGAGGAAAAATGCACAGCCAAACCGCGACCCTCTGAACTATAGACGCATGCTTCTTCTTCTGCCAAGTAATGTCCACAATCATCAATTCACGTTGATTAAAATGACATTTTTGGAGTGTGCATTGTTAAAAACAGGATAAAAAGATGGAATTTAGGCCAGTGACACAGATAACCGAGATCTGAAGACCTCTAGGTCATCTGAGGTGACAGTGTCCGCTGGTAAGGAGTTCCATTCCCTGATAGTGTGTGGGAAGAACGAGAACTTCCTGTAGTCACTACCACATGATGGAATTTGGAACGAAAGTCTGTGTAAATTCCTCGACAGTCTGCTGGTGGAATAAGCATGTCGGTGTTGGTATACATGAGGTTGTGGTGGATCTTGAACAGCATACATAGTCTTGCTTGTTGTGTTCTGTCTTTCAACGACGCCCAACCGAGGTGCTCTAGTAAGCTGGTGACACTAGCTGTCCGTCTGTAAGTGTTGGTGGCATATCTGGCAGCCCGCCGTTGTACCATTTCCAGACTGTCAATGTCTTTCTGTTGGTAGGGGTCCCACACAGTGCGTGCGTACTCCAAAACAGGTCTTACTAGGGTGGTGTATGCCTTTGATTTGATGCTTTCGGAGTTGATGTTGACATTTCGTTTTAGGAATCCGACGGTACGATTCGCTTTGCCACAGATGTTGCTGATGTGTACGCCCCATTTGAGATCTTGCTTGATGGTACATCCAAGATATTTGGCTGATGTCACTGCCTCTAAAACATGTCCATGAAGGGTGTATTTGTGGTTTATTTTGTTTCTGTTTCTGGTGATGGACAATACTTGGCACTTTCCCGGGTGAAGTTCCATCTTCCATTGTTGTTCCCATACTGCTAATTTTCCGAGATCTTGTTGTTGAATGTTTGCGTCAGTGTCCGATGTGATCGTAAGATAGACTATTGTGTCGTCGGCAAACAAGCGCACTTTAGATGTGATGTTGAGTGACATATCATTGATATAGAGGAGGAACAGGCTGGGTCCGATGACAGATCCTTGTGGTACTCCAGAGGCTACATCTACAGAGTCTGATGTTTCTCCGTCGACTAAAACTGATTGTACTCTATCTGAAAGTAGGGACTCAATCCAGGTGTTGACTTTGCCTCGAATGCCTTAGTGGTGTAGTTTATGGAAAAGCAGGCTGTGGCAGACTTTGTCAAAGGCTTTCGAGAAATCCATGACAAGAACGTCTGTTTGCTTCTTATCCGACATGTTCTTAGTGCTGTCCTCAACGAATTCTAGAAGCTGGGTCTCACATGATCTTTGTCGTCTGAATCCGTGTTGTAGAGGATAGAGGATGTTGTACCTATCTGTATGGTTCATGATGTGGCTGTTGACAATGTGCTCGATGGTTCTTGCAGCAGATACATGTCAGAGATATAGGTCGATAATTCTCTGCCTTGTACATCTCCCCTTTTTTGTACACAGGGCTAACATTGGCCTTCTTCCAATCAGATGGTATATTGCCCATTTCGATGAAGAGTGAAAATATGATGGTAAGTATGGGCGAAACGTGATTGGCCGTTTCCTTCAACAGTTTGGGTTTGATTTTATCGGGGCCGGCGGCTTTGTGTGGGTTCAGGTTTTTCAGTAGCTTTGTCACTCTGTTATATTACGGTCCTCAATGGTGTTATATTCTCCAGGCAAGTTGATGGTGTTGGTGAATTCCTGCCTGTTGACTGTTGGGGAGAATGCGGACTGGAATTGTTCATTTAGGATGTTGGCTCTGTCTTTTGCGGCTGGATGTAAGATGCCGTTGCTCCGGAGGGGTGTTAATCCCGATGATTCTGTCTTGTGCTTGATGTATGTCCAGAATCTTTTCGTTCCACTGTACTGGTTGTCTGTTTCCTTGGGAGTGATGATGTCCTCCACGTATTCCCAATAAGCCCCTCTGAGACCTTTCTGTACTAGGGTCCTTGCCTGTTTGTATTTCTCAATGTTGATTGGGCAGGGTGACTTTTTCTTTTTTTCTCTACCAATTGTCAGAGCTATCTGGTCGCGGATGAGTGACCCAGTTCAGTTCCGCTACATTCCTCCCTCCTTTAACAAAGTCTTCGACCCGGAATACGCAACTATTAGCACCCAGTGCTTGAAACAAGTGTTGGCAAGCACAATAAATTTGTAACAAGAGATTTACATATCAGATGTAGATGGTTGGATGCACTTCATTACAGCTTATTATACTGTTAGATGTGAACTATGTATGCATGCTCAAAATTCTTTGTATCATAAAGAGATGATATCTGTTAATTTTCAGATATATCTCTTGGTGAATCATGCTTCCGTACCTATATAGCGTAGATCTAGTAGACATTGTATCAATGCATTATACGGTTATATTTTTGTATCTTTATTTGTTGACAGATTGCCATCCCCAACAACACTAAACTTCGCTGTGTATCATGGAACAGGGAGCAGGGATACATCGCCTGTGGGGGAGAGGAGGGACTGCTCAAGGTCCTTAAACTGGAAATACAAACAGGTACCAGTAGATGGTTTTGTAAACAAGATACAGACATGAAATACAGATAGAAAATACTCCTATTGTATCAGTTATAGATAAAGACATAAATAGTAACCATAAAATAATATTCAGATTGCCAATCCACAGCCATCATCAGCCTGGTCAACATCTCTAATGGATATTTTAACTCTTGATCTAAAATGTCTTAAAAGATGGTTTATCTACAGTGGTACTGATCGACAATACCACTGTCGTACTGTGGATAGCTTCAAGCATGTATTTAATGTTATCTACTCCATAGCCAGCTGATCAACGTCTCTGCTGTCTAGGTTAGTTGTGCTACTGCTATATGCCTTGAACACTCTCTGAAATGGTAGTGCTGGTAACTCCATGACAACCTAGCTCAACCAGGGAAACACATCTATCCTACCACTTTCGTTCCATCCAACATCAGCATTCTCTTCCCCTGTTACATCCTCGATATCCAGGGGTTACACTTATTTTCGCTCTCTACACCCCTGGAATATGTCATAGCAAAATTGAAGGCTCAGTGTGCACCATCTTGTTGATGAGACAAGAAGACTAGTTCGATCCTTTGACATACATCAAAAGAATCTCACGGTCACGTAATGGTTAAAACTGATTGACTTTGAAGTCGGGTGTCTCTCCTGTGTGATCGGCCTGGTGATTGGTCAGTTGGTTTTTTTTACATGAGACCAATCAAACAGCTATCTTTGTGCCTTCAATTTTGCTATGACATATTCCATGGATGCAGAGAGCGTAAGTGAGCGTAACCCCTGGGTATCAAGGATGCCCCTGTTGCGACCTGATAAAAATGTCCAGGTGTAGATTGGTTGATTGATTCAGACAAAATAAACACACTTGAGCTGTGTTCACCAACTTCACCACTGTTTTACAGGAGTAAACATTGAGTATTGAATGGTGATAAAGTCTAATGCTTCCAGGGGACACTGTATGTGTGAAGGAGAATTCTAGATATACTGGCGTGCTAAATTTCTAAAATATGTGAGAATTAAAAAGTGTGCAGACTTAAATTGAAGGTCTACCCACAGGATGTGGGTGACTGGGCAGGCGTAAATTTTGGACAATTTTCAATGGAGCAAAGCTATTGGAAAACAAATGGAACTTTAAGAGAGAGAAAATAACCCTCTTTGTATTGAATCATACCTCATGTCTTGCTGCTATAAAACCTTTGTGTGGAGGTTTTGTATGTAAAGGTCTTTGAACTGTGTAGTGAACCTTACTGGATTGTTTGTCAGTGACCAGATACAACTGGTATTTCTATTATAAGTGAGTCCCTCTACTGCAATATAATTATGATGATTATAATGGAAAAAAATGCTTTTTAAATCTGCTTATTTAATTCTCTGAGGTCAATTATGTTCAGCTTCATTTTAAACTGGGAATGTAGAATATTTTCTGAATATTTTTTTTAACCTTCCCTAGATTCTCAATAAAACTTCAAAGTCAACATTTCAAGCAAAAAGCTCTAGGGTAGGTAAAGAGCCCTAAACGCAAACATTTTTTGGTGTAAGTTTTAAGTGTGTCTGGTGTACTGCACTTGGTTTTAATTTTCACTTAAAACTTAAATTGCGTCACACAATTTAAAACTGAAAATTATTATTACGAAATATTGATATCGTATGATTGTACATACTTAAATCTCAAAGAAGAGCAAAATCAGCCAAGTTTAAACAATGAGTGGTTTTTGTTTCAGGAAAGGATGTGAAGGTGAAGGGTCTGGCTGCCCCTAGTAACCTGTCAATGAACCAGACTCTGGAGGGACACAGTGGTAGGTACAGGAACAGTAACCATTGTATTGAGACCAGTATTAATCTTTTATTTGAGTTCTATGTATCTAGTATTTTGTATCGACAATGAGTGAAGAAGTTAAAATGAGCAAACACAAAACAGCTTCTTCTATTTCCATTCTCATGCTTATTTCTGGGGGGTTTTCAGTGAACAACTAAACAAAAATACTGAATGTTAACTTTAATAACATAAAAATTGGTCAATTCCAGACATTTAACTAATCATTTGTTAATACCGAGTGACTTCGCTGGCCTAATACAAGGTAGCTGTGTCTTAACTGTGTGTCAAGCACCATAATACAAGGTAGATGTGTCTTAACTGTGTGTCAAGCACCATAATACAAGGTAGCTGTGTATTAACTGTGTGTCAAGCACCATAATAAAAGGTAACTGTGTCTTAACTGTGTGTCAAGCACCATAATACAAGGTATCTGTGTCTTAACTGTGTGTCAAGCGCCATAATACAAGGTAGCTGTTTCTTAACTGTGTGTCAAGCGCCATAATACAAGGTAGCTGTTTCTTAACTGTGTGTCAAGCGCCATAATACAAGGTAGCTGTGTCTTAACTGTGTGTCAAGCACCATAATACAAGGTAGTTGTGTCTTAACTGTGTCAAGCACATCATTTGATCTTTGGTACTTTTTTATGCATCTGTTTTGAAACCGTTATAGTACGCTAGTCCTTAGTGTCTGTCACCACCTTGGTTATTTCCAAACCTGCTGTAAAATATATTTTTTGAGTTTGTATGATCATGTACTATGTCAGTGGCATTGTGTTGAACCTTCAAGCTTTCAAGGGCTGTCAGTTGACTTGACATTTAGCAATTTCGGAAGTCAAACAACATTTTAAATGTGGAGGGTCAAAACAATAGCAAATAGACTCAGCATCAAAGCTCTTATAAAGAGAGAATCAAAGGTTCTACTGAAAACACTGGAACTTTCAGAGCCAAATATATGCCTAAAGTATTTGTGTAAATAGTGTAGCTTTTCCAATGCCTATGTCATGTCTGTCAATAATATTAACAGGTGCAGTACAGGTGGTAACATGGAATGAACATTACCAGAAACTGACCACAAGTGACCAGTACGGCCTCATCATTGTTTGGATGTTGTATAAAGGTAGGTGATGACCACGAGTGACCATGTATGATCATTGTGTGAGTGTTGTATTGACTGACCAATATGGACTTGTCTGTATAAATATAGGACTGACAAAGTGACCAGGGGTATCACAGGAGAGTACCATGTCCTGTGATAAACATCAGTTATCATCCAATGTTCACACTTGGACTGGTTCTGATGGAAATATAACAATGAACTAAGGGAAAAATGAATCTATAATGTGTCACACTGTTTCTATGTCATAATTTAACATAGGGGAATTGGAATGACAGATAATTTGTCATGGTATTGACAATTTTTATTGCGTTTTTAACTTTTGCTCACAAGTCTACATATATATGTCGACCACTACTGTGGCCCTCCCCAATAGGACTTGCCATTTGTATGGGGTTCTGTGACCTCAGGGTCATACACACCTGGTAGGCAGTATGTACCTTCCCCTGTTCTAGTTAAGGACGGGGAATTGATGGATGGCCACAGTAGTGGTTAAAATATTTTGGTATTCAATCTGTGTAGTAACAACCCAGGGTAATGTTGAATTCCATCCTAACCTAATGTGTATATGTTAACCAGGCTCGTGGTATGAAGAGATGATCAACAACAGGAATAAGTCTGTAGTAAGAAGTATGGGATGGAACGCAGACGGACAGAAAATCTGTATTGTCTACCAGGACGGTAAGTTGGTCATTAATGGAACGCAGACGGACAGAAAATCTGTATTGTCTACCAGGACGGTAAGTTTGTCATCAATTGCTGTAAGCACACTTAGTTCAACTGTATTCTAGTTTTAGAGAATTCATGCTTTGCCTCATCTGCTTACTCATTTTTACAGAAGCAGTGTTCCCAGAAATCCCCAAAGCAGGGTCCCCCCGCCCCATAACAGTTGGTTGTATCCCAGTTTTAAATGACTGCCTTATGTAACTAAGTACCTAGGGGTACAGAATCTTCAAAATGAATCAAATATACCCCCAATTCTAAAATTCAGTGGGAACACTGCAAAAGCAATTAACTTCTTTACTAAAATCTCATGTTAAGATATTACAGATGTTTATCTGGAAACAAAAAGAGAAAAATACTTCTGTAAATTTCACAATATTTTCCAAAAATCTCATTTGGAAAAGCGTTTATGACTCGTTAAAGTTAATTAATCCCTTATTAAGGTATTGAACAACTGATGTCAGGATTGTATTAGTTTTTAGTGTGATAAACCTAAGAAAAGGGGAAGATCAAATTTGAAACATGTGTTTTATTTACCATACGTTGTCGGTTGTTCATTATAGGTGCTGTGATTGTTGGATCTGTCGATGGTAACCGGATTTGGGGCAAGGAGCTAAAAAGCCAGGAACTCAACCATGTGGAGGTATGTCAGAATAAAGAGAAAAACACTGCTCCGCTTTTAAAAATAATTTGACATATTATGTGTTATTAGATTTATGAAAATTGAACTTGTTCAGATTTAAAAAATATCATCAGGTAAATGTGATTACTAACTTTAAAAAAATTGGAAACATTATTTTTCAATTTTTTGGTTCAACCCAGTTAATATTCCTGATGTTTAACTTCAAAAATAAAGATGCAAAATGTGCAGCATACACAAAAAGGTATGTAGGACATCAGTAAGGTATGTAGGGCATCAGTAACATGTTGATTTTGTTATTTATCTCAGTCCCATTGACATTTTGTCATTTATCTCAGTCCCATTGACATTTTGACAGTCTCTTTCCAAGCCCAATACAGTTTACATTCCACAAAAATGTTTCTACTAAAAGTTGACAAATGACAGCACTTCTAACTATTTTGATATTTGATGTACACAAGTAATACATAATAATAATGTAATAATAATAATAATAATAATGTTTATTTCAGGAAATAGATCATAGACATCACATGTAACATGACAGTTGACATACATATTACGGTACAACATACATATATATTACTAAACATTTTAAACAGAATATCACAGGTTTTTGGGGCAGTCCAAGGAGCAGGTGATTAGGGCATCGGCTTCCTACAAGCTCTCCGGACGCTCAAATATTAATGAACCTACATGCATTAAATTATCGTCAGTAATAAAATATTGTATTATCTTAAAATATTATATTATATATGAAACTAAAATTCATAACTGATTTTAAGATATAGGTAATTATATTTATACAATTAATACAACACAAACATTGATCTATAAACCTGAGGATAGCCCATGAAAGCTCGAAAGCTTATTTCCAATGGGGTCCATGTTATATTGATCACGGGGAAAGATTTTTGCAGGAGGGAATGAATGACAACATATTAACTTTATTGTCAGTACCTATAGTAATTCCGTAATGACTATATACTCTAAAAAACACACATATATATATGTTAAGGTTTAAATAGTTAACCCAACTTAAAATATGTAACGTGACTTTCCAACTATTTATATTTAAAAAAAATAAAAAAATAATACGGTACAGATGTTGTCAGCAGGTGGATTGCAGTGACACAAAGTTTGTTTTCTTAGGGTTGGGGATCCCCCTACCAGCAAAGTCTACTTGTTTTGTGCCACCGCAATCACATATAATTGTGTTATCAGCATGAATTTTGAAATTCAAAAGCGAGATGTTTCTTCACTGCTGCCTTAAATGCATATATGGATTTTATACCCTTGATTTTGTCAGGCAGACTATTCCAGTCATGGATCCCGTTAAAATAAAAGTACAGGTATCTTTCCCTTTACATGGTGGAACAGCAAAATTAAAAAGACATGATCGTGTGTTATGCTGATGAACACCTGACACTTTTATGAAGTTTAGGTTTAAGTAGGATGGACATTTTCCATAAAAAATCTTGTGCACATGATTGAGTCTTAATTGTTTGACTCTATATTCTATATTTAACATATTGAGCTTTGGCAGTTCAGTGGGAGTGATAGTCGTTCTGGGTTCTAATTGGCTAATAAATCTGACAACTTTATTTTGTAAAACCTGTAATTTGTTCTTCATTTTCTTGTTCAATCCTGAGTACCACGCGGAGCATGCATAATCTAGGTGACACTGTATTAGTGCAGAACATAAACTTTGTCTGGTTTTTGTAGTTAGACATTTACTTTGTCGGTATAAAAATTTCAGTCTAGAATTTACTTTCCTCACGATGTTTTCTACTATTTCTTCGCCAGACATACAACAATCTATATTAGCTCCAAGATATTTCACAGATTTAGTTGATTTGATGGTATGATTGTTTGAGACAATTTCAAAATGATCAATTTGATTTAATTTTTTTTTCGTTCCAAATAGCATGCTCTCTGTTTTACCTAAATGCAAAGAAAGCTTGTTATCAACTAACCACTCTGCACATGATTCAAGTACAGCACCAAGTTTCATGGAAATTATTTCTGGGCTTTTATGTGCGAAAAGGATAACACTGTCATCGGCATATAATAGTAATTTGCATTCTCCATCAATGCTGATTGCCATATCGTTGACATAGCATAAGAATAAAAAAGGGCCTAAAATACTACCTTGTGGTACCCCACACGTAATAGTAGCTGGGTCCGAGTAGATATCGTTAATTTTGACTGTCTGATGTCTGTTACTCAGATATGATCTAAACCATTACTAAATACATGTGTTGTTCTGACTTTCAGTGGTCACCAGATGGAAAATTCATCCTGTTTGGAATGGCAAATGGGGAAGTGCATGTTTACGATAACACCGGAAACTTCATTGTAAGTGAACTGTCGTTTTATGTTGTAAGATTTTAAAAATGTTTTAAACTAACTTTCTTTTTACAGTGTAAGTGTAAATTCATTTCAACTTGTTGGAATGTGTTTTCTTGTTTTCTTATAAGAATGAAAGCATAATATGTTCTCTGTTACCCTTATTATATGGTCTAAATTTAGATGCTATCCTGCCATAAATAAATCCGTAGAAGGATATTTTATTCAAAGCTAGAATATTTGTCCGATATTTTACCAGAACATGTACAGAAATAAAGTTAAAAAAATACTGGTCCAGCCTAATTCAGATTAAAGTAAAATAATAATACATGTTTGCTGCCATTGTTTCCAGTCCAAGGTCCAAATCTACTGTCTGTCCGGAGTTAGCGGAGCATTACACATTGCTGGACTACAGTGGTACAATGGTAACCATGGTTACATCGAGCCTAACTGTCCCTCACTGGCCATCTGCTTCGACAGTGGACGGTGTCAGATCATGAGATCAGAGGCTGATGAAAGTAGGTCATTACAATTAACAAACTCTGTTCTCTTTTTCAATACTTTCACTTTATCAGTTTAATTTGATTTTGTTTGTGACAAGCTTTCCATGATATAAAACCTTGACCAGATTATTGGATTTTTTCCAAAATTACATGTAGCTTCGTTTCTATATGGATACATTTAAACATTAGATAATGCTTTTATTCTTCCATATAACATTGAAGTAACCAAGATTAATCTGCTGCCCTATTGCAACTCTTGAAATCTTTCTTTCTTTCTTTCTTTTTTCCCTTTCCTATCTGTTTTTTAAAGTAGGATGTTTGTATTTTCAGGTCCAGTGCTGATAGACACGGGGATGACTGTGGCCCAGATTGGCTGGAACCACACTGGGTCTGTCATGGCCGTGGCTGGATCACAGAGGACGGTCGGGCAGGACAAGGATATCAATGTCGTACAGTTTTACTCCCCGTTTGGTGAGGTGGGTAACAATATCTGGGCTAGGATTTAATTCTTACACCCAATTGTCAGCCAGGCTAACAGTTTCTCATTTCACAAGCTCTGCATGATAATTAATATCAAGTTTTGATTAGTCAGTCAAGCTAGCAGTTTTTTTATAACAACCATTCCAGCTGACTTCTCTTATTTTCTACTCCTGGTTTAACAGGTTGTGTTTTAAAATATGTGTAGCAAATTTACAGTATACCGGGTAATTATTTTCCCTTTTTTTTGGGACAGAAAAAGGTTTATATTTTTTCATGATATGATAAAAATAAAGACCAGTTGAATAAAGATTGAAAATTACAAAATATATTAGAATTACTGAATTTTTGAGATACTGTGAGTTCATATACTTGTAGCTTTACTAACGTGTACGGTAGCTTTACTAACGTGTACGGTAGCTTTACTAACGTGTACGGTAGCTTCACTAACGTGTACAGTTGTTTTACTAACGTGTACGGTAGCTTTACTAACGTGTACGGTAGTTTTACTAACGTGTACGGTTGCTTTACTAACGTGTACTGTAGCTTTACTAACGTGTACGGTAGCTTTACTAACGTGTACGGTCTAACGGGTACGGTAGCTTTACTAACGTGTACAGTTGTTTTACTAACGTGTACGGTTGCCTTACTAACGTGTACGGTAGCTTTAATAACGTGTACGGTAGATTTACTAACGTGTACGGTAGCGTTACTTCCGTGTACGGTAGCTTTACTAACGTGTACGGTTGCTTTACTAACGTGTACGGTAGCTTTACTTTCTTTACATTTAAATCTGAATTTGTTCTGTTTGCAGCACCTACGTACCCTGAAGGTGCCAGGCAAGACGATGTACTCCTGTTCGTGGGAGGGTGGCAGTCTAAGGATTGCTCTCGCTGTCGACAGCTTCATTTACTTTGCCAATATCCGACCCGACTACAAGGTAATTGTTCCCTAGTGTTCAGTGAAGTGACTATTTAACATCTGAGTGAATGTCTACAGTATAAGCCCCAGTAGAGTTATCTCCCTTTATCATATTTTCCAGACAATAATGTTCAGTTGTAATGACTTTTCCCATTCCATATTTTAGCAGTTCAAAAGAAGCAAACTGTTAAAAAAATGAAAATAGTTGACTGCCTATTTTTCTTACATTGATATCAATTTTTTTTTTTACAAAAATAAAAGTAAACCTCATTAAATTTTGTACACAATGTCTTAAAAACAAAACTTAATAAGCTAAATTTGCTAAGGCAAACCATGCATTGGAAAGGATAATTTACTTGGTATAATGTTAATGAGACCCAAAGCTTCTCAACAGAATTTGACACAAACAACCAATTCCAGTTCTTGTAGAACATAAAAATTGCAGCAAAAATTTATAATACGATAAAAACCAATGTAATTTGCGCAGGTACTTTTTGAAATAATTAACGAGGTTATTATCAATCACGTGTTTACGTAATGTTGGACGTGAGATCAACATGAAAGTGAGCTGGGTAAAAATATGCTGTACGCATAGGCGATTTGAAAAAACACTAACAGAACTTACATCGAACGGAGCTTAAATTGAACAACTACATTTTCGTAATAGTATGGGGAAAACGCACCGAGATGTTGAAACGTAAGTTGATCGGCGATTCTTTGGCATAGTAATTTGGTTCAATTTTCTTTGTTAACAGTTACCTATTAAATAATACTTTCACATAAACTCAGGTAACAACACAGTTTGTATCAATTGTGTCTTTTATTGATGTTTGACATAAATAAATGTGTTGATAGGTGTTTGTCTTTGAGTTCTGTGTACCAAGGGAGATAATTATCTTGTGTCCAAGATGGCGGTCTGCCAGAATCGTCGATTTTTTCATGAAAAAATCTTGAAATTGCTTATACCTATGTATTTTGCGCACCCCACACTTTGGGTATTTAAATTTCTGGAAAAAAAGTGCGCAAATTACATGGGATTTTACGGTAAATGTCTTTGTTTTGAAGTATGAAATAATACTCCTATTGTTTTCCTGGGTCTTTACAAGGATATTTCTTGAAACTATAAGTGCCCTATTACCCATCAGTACTAAGCTGTGCTATCTAACACATGGTATTGTATGTTTCAGTGGGGATACTGTTCCAACACTGTAGTGTATTCCTTCAGTAAGCCTGAAAGGATTGAACACTGCGTCATCTTCTGGGACACAAAGAATGGAGAGGTGGGAACAGATTGAAACACTTAACTGATGTCATACTTAACTTTTTTTTGCACGTTAGCTTTGTTCATAAAATTTGACATTCTCATACAAGATAAATTGAAGATGAAGTCCAGAAATTTTATGGCAAATTATCGTTCATCAATCAATGCATGATAGTTTATAATAAAATGCATGTTAATAAGTATAACAAATATGTTTTTTGGGAAAAAATGAGTTTGCACGACTTGATCATAATAAACGATTGTTACTTAGAAGCATATCATTTATATCAATATATAAGCAGAAAAAAAATACCAACAAAGGGAAAAAAGCTTAATAGTCAAAGAATAATAACAGCTCTTACCACTCAAAAAGCAAGCTTACTCTAATAATGGTCAACAGCACTATAAATACAGTGTATATATTAAGTATATAAGGAAGATTTTAAATTCTAAATTTAATACTCTGTCCATCCTGATAGCTCACCTGGCCAATTAAGGGAAATTGTTGCTATGAGGTGAACTTATGATGATTTTTCATTAAATCCACCTGAATGTTACAGAAATATGTGAAGTATGTGAGAAATCTCATCGCTATTACTGCCTGTGGGGACTACTGTTGCCTAGCAACGAAGGCTGATGAAGCTGTAGGTCAGGTAAGAAATCCATACAAAATGGGAAAAAAAGTCTCATTTCATTTGCGGTATCAGGATTGTTAGGTTGACTAAACTTTTACCCTGTGATATAATTCTAATAAAAATGTTTTGCACCAATGGTGGATACAGCACTACCTGTACTATGCTGAGTGCTGTTAGTGTTGGAACCCCTCTAAATATGTTTAACTTTACTATAGCAATATATCCTGGTATTGTGTAACTCTATAGGAACCCTCTAAATATGTTTAACTTTACTATAGTGATATATCCTGGTATTGTGTAACTCTATGGGAACCCCTCTAAATATGTTTACTTTACTATAGCAATATATCCTGGTATTGTGTAACCCCTCTAGACTGAATGTTTAACTTTACTGTTACATTATGTGCTGGTACATGTATTGTGTAATTCTATCGGAACCCGTCTTGACTGAATGTTTAACTTTACTGTAACAGTATGTGCTGGTATTGTGTAACTCTATCGGAACACCTCTTGACTGAATGTTTAACTTTACTATTACAGTATGTGCTGGTATTGTGTAACTATATCGGAACCCTCTTGACTGAATGTTTAACTTTACTATTACAGTATGTGCTGGTATTGTGTAATTTTATCGGAACCCCTCTTGACTGAATGTTTAACTTTACTGTTACAGTATGTGCTGGTATTGTGTAACTCTATTGGAACCCTCTTGACTGAATGTTTAACTTTACTGTTACAGTATGTGCTTGTCTTTTGTAACTCTATCGGAACACCTCTTTACTGAATGTTTAACTTTAATGTTACAGAATGTGCTGGTATTGTTTAACTCTATCGGAACTCCTCTTGACTGAATGTTGAACTTTACTGTTACATTATGTGATGGTATTGTGTAACTCTTTCGGAACCCCTCTTGACTGTATGACTAGCTTTACTGTTACAGTCTGTGCTAGTATTGTTTAAGTCTATCAGAACCCGTCTTGACTGAATGTTTAACTTTACTGTTACAGTATGTGCTGGTATTGTTTAAGTCTATCGGAACCCGTCTTGACTGAATGTTTAACTTTACTGTTACATTATGTGCTGGTATTGTGTAACTCTATCGGAACCCCTCTTGACTGAATGTTTAGCTTTACTGTTACAGTATGTGCTTGTCTTGTGTAACTCTATCGGAACCCTCTTGACTGAATGGTTAACTTTACTGTTACAGAATGTGCTGGGATTGTGTAACTCTATCGGAACACCTCTTGACTGAATGTTTAAATTTACTGTTACAGTATGTGCTGGTATTATGTAACTCTATCGGAACCCCTCTTGACTGAATGTTTAACTTTGCTGTTACAGAATGTGCTGGTATTGTGTAATTTTATCGGAACCCCTCTTGACTGAATGTTTAACTTTACTGTTACAGTATGTGCTGGTATTGTGTAACTCTATCGGAACCCCTCTGGACTCTAAGTATGTTGAGATAGATCCTGTGTACCTAACCATGACAAAGACACACATCGTCGCAGCATCTAAGGAAGCCATCTACACGTGGCAGTTTAAGAATCCCAAAAAACTCTCTACACTAGAGGTCGCCGGTAGGAGGCGAACAGGAACAGAAAGGTCAGTGAAGTGAAAAATGTTCAACATCATCAGTTACATCCATTGTATTGATTGTCAAATTGTGATTCAATCACATCAAAACACAATATTGTTACATATGACTTAATTTACAGATTAACATTTAAGCATTGAACTGCTTTTAGTTGTCATTCATATTGCCCATGAATGCCAACTGAAAGCTGTTCAATACTTGCATTTATCACTTTTGAAATATTTTAATCTCAAAGCAAATCCATGGAGGATAAGTAGAATCCAATATTACAATTATGTAGTCATGGCATTCAAAGCTGATATGAATGTCATTGTGATGTGGTAGGGTTATATAGTGACAATGCCATACTACGGTAAATATAATTGTCTCAGTATTTATTTTTGCTGTTTAAATGCAGTATATATACAACACAATAACATCCTTGGCCCAGTTGTTCAAAAGATCATTAGCTTAATCACTGTTTAACGACATTTTTCAATCTTTAATAATTTTGTCAATATACAAGGTAACAACTCGTAATTTTACATGTAAATTCACTGTACTAAATACTTGATATATGGAAATTTGTAACTCGGTCAATAGTTGTGTTTCAAAGATACATAAAAATTAAAATTTGTGCTAATCGCTGATTAAGCTAACCACCCTTTAAACAACCGGGCCCTGATCTCAGGTGACTGTCAAGGCCCATGGGCCTGTTTTCTAATTATTTTTGCTATATCAAATCTATATTGTGTATAATGTTTGTTCTATACATTTTATAGACAGTTATCTGTTAGTTTAGAAACTAGAACAGTTTGTAACTATTGTAAATTGCCTATGTTTAGCTGATAATTACTAAAAACAATATTTTGTTAACACCTGACCTGTGTTCTTACTTGTTTGAGCTGATTCGAAAATCCAACAAAGCCACCCTGGCCTTTCAGTTGCAGAGATTTGTTCACTGCTTCTCAAAAACGATATTGCAGTTATTGACTCTCAATCAATGTAATTCATGTGATCATTACGACCGTTGGGCCCCTTGTTACTGTGTGTACACATATCATCACCCCTAGTACAGTTAAATGGTGGCACATTTATGGCTTCGTAGGGCATTTACAGACTTACAATATTAGATTAAGTAGTAATGTTTGTTTACCATATTTCATTTACGACAGAACAGTAGTTTAATAGTATTCCAGTTCATTTACAGACTTACAGCATACAATGATAAAATGTTGATGACAGTATTGCCTTACCTTGTTTTTAGACTTTACCATATTGATGACCAGCCAACAGGATCTGCGGCCCAAGAGGAGGTGGACTTCAGCAAGGCGTACAATGTAAGACTAATACGGTATAGTTATGTTACCAATACTTCTATTGTAGGCCATTGGTACTCCAGTATCTATCTGGTTAATGAGGGCTGTAGGATTTGTAAGGTAGAAAGGGTTTGAAATGTACTTTATAATCAGCTTGCCTAGAGGGATACTTTAATCCAAAATTTACATACTCTAGGATAGGCATTGAACTTTACCAAACAAAAATGCAACATTTTATAAATTACAAAAACAAATACAGATTTTTCAAAGCATAGCATGATAGCTTTTACATATAGATGTATGACCTTACTTTGGACCTAAATTTAACATTTTCAGCCAGTAAACTTGTTAACTATTCCTATAATCTAAGATCTAATGATTTTACCTGAAAGAACAACTCAAGAGAATCTCCCCAATGGAAATTTCAAAATGCTTGCAAGTATGATGACTAAATACCAACAGCAGAATGAATTACTGACAAAACTTCATCCTGCCTACACATCAGGCAAGCTCATGTTTAAATTTTATCCACATATCTACTTATTTCAAACTCATGGCAAAGTCTTGTTACAAGCCTCACAGCCCATCATGATGAATTGATCAGGCCAATGGCAATTTGTTGTTTGTTCCCACAATTGGATTCTGTAGGCCTAGTACTAAATAAATCATTCTATTTATCATCATGATATCATTTCATATTTTGTTCTGTGTGAGTCCTGTATCGATGTGGCATAAATCTTGTGTGTAAGTCCTGACTCGGTGTGGCATAAATCTTGAATCTAATGTAGTAGTGTTACTGGACTAGAGACTGTCATTGTTGTGTTGAATTAGTGTTACTAAACTAGAGACTGTCATTGTTGTGTTCAATTAGTGTTACTAGTCTAAAGACTGTCATTGTTGTGTTGAATTAGTGTTACTGGACTAGAGACTGTCATTGTTGTGTTGAATTAGTGTTACTGGACTAAAGACTGTCATTGTTGTGTTGAATTAGTGTTACTGGACTAAAGACTGTCATTGTTGTGTTGAATTAGTGTTACTGGACTAAAGACTGTCATTGTTGTGTTGAATTAGTGTTACTGGACTAAAGACTGTCATTGTTGTGTTGAATTAGTGTTACTGGACTAAAGACTGTCATTGTTGTGTTGAATTAGTGTTACTGGACTAAAGACTGTCATTGTTGTGTTGAATTAGTGTTACTGGACTAAAGACTGTCATTGTTGTGTTGAATTAGTGTTACTGGACTAAAGACTGTCATTGTTGTGTTGAATTAGTGTTACTGGACTAAAGACTGTCATTGTTGTGTTGAATTAGTGTTACTGGACTAAAGACTGTCATTGTTGTGTTGAATTAGTGTTACTGGACTAAAGACTGTCATTGTTGTGTTGAATTAGTGTTACTGGACTAAAGACTGTCATTGTTGTGTTGAATTAGTGTTACTGGACTAAAGACTGTCATTGTTGTGTTGAATTAGTGTTACTGGACTAAAGACTGTCATTGTTGTGTTGAATTAGTGTTACTGGACTAAAGACTGTCATTGTTGTGTTGAATTAGTGTTACTGGACTAAAGACTGTCATTGTTGTGTTGAATTAGTGTTACTGGACTAAAGACTGTCATTGTTGTGTTGAATTAGTGTTACTGGACTAAAGACTGTCATTGTTGTGTTGAATTAGTGTTACTGGACTAAAGACTGTCATTGTTGTGTTGAATTAGTGTTACTGGACTAAAGACTGTCATTGTTGTGTTGAATTAGTGTTACTGGACTAGAGACTGTCATTGTTGTGTTGAATTAGTGTTACTGGACTAAAGACTGTCATTGTTGCATTGAATTAGTGTTACTGGACTAAAGACTGTCATTGTTGTGTTGAATTAGTGTTACTGCACTAAAGACTGTCATTGTTGTGTTGAATTAGTGTTACTGGACTAGAGACTGTCATTGTTGTGTTGAATTCATGGGTTCACTTTTCCCATCATACAAAACTTACAAAAAATTAAGCTCTTTGAGCAAATAATCTTCGTTGCAGAGTTCTAATCTTGTATTAATCACACTTTAAAGTGTTTGCGTACTAGTTTTACCTTTTCATTTGGACAGCTTTGATCCATTTCATGATAGAGATTCATGTCTTTATATATATATTAATTTCTTAACATGATATGACTTTCATTTTACTGCTAACAGCGTAATGGAAAACAGGTACTTAGTAGTGATTTAGTACATCCCATGTTAGTTTCTGGGATAGTGATTGGCATCCTCGATGTCCAGGGGTTACGCTCACCTTCGCTCTCTACACCCCTGAAATATGTCATAACAAAATTGTAGGCACGAAGATGGCTGTTTGATTGGTCTCAGGTAAAAAAAACTGACCATTTGCTAGGCTAATACTTGTCCTTTGAAGATTACAAAGGAGAGACGCCCAACTTCAAAGCCTGACTATTTTCACTGTTACCGTGAGATTATTTTGATATATTTCAAAGGATCGAACTAGTCTTCTTGTCTCATCAACAAGATGGCGCACACCGAGCCTTCAATTTCACTATGACATATTCCAGGGGTGTAGAGAGGAAAGTGAGCGTAACCCCTGGATATCGAGGATGTATTCAGTGTAGCTTGACTGCATGTGATTCTGACGACGACCAATATTCTAACACAGTGCTTTTCCCTCCTCTTATTTCGTCACTGAAGCTACTTTCCTTTAAACAGGTGGCACTAGAGTTGCTGAGCATGTCCACATTTTTACCGAGTATTAGCAAAGCATAGAGAGTAAACAGACAATTCGGCCCAGATTGATGATCAATCAACATTGTTAGGCTTTTCCTCTGTTGGAATTGTAAGATTGTGTGAGGTCATCTTTAGACCATATTTCCTGTCTTTCATGATGTCACACATTAAAGAATTTGATAAATATATTGGGTTTCAGTTTCCTCCTCGTAAGTAATAACCAGCAATCATGGGTCTGGGGCCTTAGACATCAGAAAATGAAATTAGTTTAATTTAAAAGATGTTATATATTTTGGCCAATTCTCTCGGATTAGTCCCAATCACTGTTCACCCGGTCCATAGTGTATAGTCCCAATCACTGTTCACCCGGTCCATAGTGTATAGTCCCGATCACTGTTCACCCGGTCCATAGTGTATAGTCCCGATCACTGTTCACTACTTCATTTGCATGACTTTATTTTGATTTTTTTTGTCTGCTCCAAATACCTTCTTATCCACAAGGATTTAAGTTCGCAGACAGTATAACATAGGTGTGCATTGCATATCCGTTGTTTGTCTATGTTGATAGCTCTCATCTCGGGAACTGGGGGGGGGACTATAGTTTTGCGTCATGTCTGTCCAGGCTCTATCTCCTACACTACTTGTCACTGGAACGTCATACTTGGGGTATGGGTTCACCTTGATGAGGCGGTGTGCCATGTACCAAAAGTAGGTCACTCTGACCTACATTTTGAATTGACCTACATCAAAGAAAAAGTTTGTCCAGGCTCTATCTCCTACACTTCTCTGGAACGTCATACTTGGGTAATTGGTTCACCTTGGTGAGGCGGTGTGTCATGTACCAAAAGTAGGTCACTCTGACCTACATTTTGACCTTTGACCTGCATCAAAGAAAAAGTTTGTCCAGGCTCTATCTCCTTCACTACCTGTCACTGGAACTTTATACTTGGAGTATGTGTTCATCTTAGTGAGGGTGTGTGTCATATATCAAAGTAGGTAATTCTGTTTTTGACGAGGTCACTGACACTATTCCTTATTGAGTACGGTGGGTTTGTCAAACATTCATATATAGAATTAGTTCCTACAAAAATTTATCATCTGCACATTTCACATTCAGTGGGGGACTATAATTCGCCGAATTGACTTGTTTTATCTATTTTACAACAATTATGAAACAAGTTTTTACAACTTATACTAATCACTCTTGTTGGCCCAGATGTTAGCGCGTGGGGTGTTTATATGTGATGTTACGATGACTAGTACAACATTTACTCTGTCCCTTCTCGATCGTAAGACAGTGTACCAAGTACATAATTACGATCGTAAGACAGTGTACCAAGTACATAATTACGATCGTAAGACAGTGTACCAAGTACATAATTACGATCGTAAGACAGTGTACCAAGTACATAATTACGATCATAAGACAGTGTACCAAGTACATAATTACAATCATAAGACAGTGTACCAAGTACATAATTACAATCATAAGACAGTGTACCAAGTACATAATTACGATCGTAAGACAGTGTACCAAGTACATAATTACGATCGTAAGACAGTGTACCAAGTACATAATTACGATCGTAAGACAGTGTACCAAGTACATAATTACGATCGTAAGACAGTGTACCAAGTACATAATTACGATCGTAAGACAGTGTACCAAGTACATAATTACGATCGTAAGACAGTGTACCAAGTACATAATTACGATCGTAAGACAGTGTACCAAGTACATAATTACGATCGTAAGACAGTGTACCAAGTACATAATTACGATCGTAAGACAGTGTACCAAGTACATAATTACGATCGTAAGACAGTGTACCAAGTACATAATTACGATCGTAAGACAGTGTACCAAGTACATAATTACGATCGTAAGACAGTGTACCAAGTACATAATTACGATCGTAAGACAGTGTACCAAGTACATAATTATGATCTTAAGACAGTGTACCAAGTACATAAGTACGATCTTAAGACAGTGCACCAGGTACATAATTACGATCGTAAGTCAGTGTACCAAGTACATAATTATGATCTTAAGCCAGTGTACCAAGTACATAAGTACGATCTTAAGCCAGTGCACCAGGTACATAATTACGATCGTAGGACAGTGTACCAAGTACATAATTATGATCTTAAGACAGTGTACCAAGTACATAATTACGATCGTAAGACAGTGTACCAAGTACATAATTATCTTATAATTACTAGTCATCAAAGCGCCACACAGAAATGTTTTCGATATGGAACCGTATACAGTCTCATCTCACGCTTAATTATCTCATAAAATATCAGATAATCAACACTGTTTCATTTAATTATGTCTTTATCCCTCATCAAGTTACTTACAAATAAAATGTTGCCTCCAGAATGTCACATGTGTATCCACTTCTTCAATATCACATTCATTAGCTTTTTCACTCTTGTCAATTTTCAGAAATATTTTGTGCACAAAAAACCTCCAAGACAAACCCATGATAATAAACGCCCCCCTGTGAGTGGCAGTGGTTGTTTGAGAGTTCTATAATTGAAGTTGAAAATTGTTTCATTTCTTTTGTTGATCTTTAACTAAATATTGGTTGTTTGTATTAAATTTCAGTTTCTTGATTTTTGATACACGTATTGCTAAATGTTTTGTTGTTAATTTTAAAATTTAACAGATTTATTTTTGTTCATTATTGATATTTGATTTTTGAATCTGTTTCTTGATACATGTACTACAAATGACCTATCTATATCAGAGAAAACCCACTCCATATGACTACATGTACTACCATACTGATTCTCTGATGAACCAGAAATATCACACTTTCTGTACCCTATTCTTCTGGAAATGGCTCGGTTGTACAAACGTGATTTCATTTTGTACATCTGATTCATTTCTTGTCTTTATTTCCTATTATTTTATATATATTTTTGGTGTTCTGTCTTACGTTGTCCCACTTTGTATGTTTTTAATTCAACTGTAAAATTTTACCTGTACACATGGTGTTTGTATGTTTGCTATACATTGAAGTCAGATGATATTTTTTAGTCAACATTTAGCAATGATAATAATAACAAGTTAAAAATTGTAAAGCTGTAGACAATGGAAGACGGATTTTGTCGAGTACAGAAGATCTTCGATCATTTCTACTAATTCAGATCTCTTATATCCTGTTTGTCGTAAAATCAAATCTCATCCCATGTTAGTGAACTGCTGTGTATTACAAACCTAGTTAATATTACATTGAGGCTTAACCCTATACAGAGTAGATTTACACATTGAATATGTTAATCCTGTTTTATTAATTGATTTTCTTTTTCCTTTTCCAGTCGACAGACGATCCTATTTGTGCGATATGTGCTTCAGATAAAACTCTGATAGTGGTAAGTTGTCACAGTCTGTTGGTAAACAAAGTTAATCCAAATATTATGAATTTCTGATAGTGGTAAGTTGTCAGTCTGGTGGTAAACAAAGTTAATCCAAATATTATAAAACCCTGATAGTGGTAAGTTGTCACAGTCTGGTGGTAAACAAAGTTAATCCAAAATATTATGAATTTCTGATGGCGGTAAGTTGTCACAGTCTGTTGGTAAACAAAGTTAATCCAAATATTATAAAACCCTGATAGTGGTAAGTTGTCACAGTCTGGTGGTAAAGTAAATCTATATAACACAAGAAAAAACTCCTTTGAGCAGTAAGTAGACAAAATCTGTTGGTAAATCAAAATGTAACATAAAAACTCTTGAGAGTGGTAAAATGACAATTTCTTGTGGTAAACTGAATTCATTTAACATATTTTAAAAACTCCTGAAAGCAGGAAGATGGCAGTCTTGTGGTAAATCAAATGTATGTAATATACCATAACACTTCTTGAAAACAATGATTGATAACAATGATTGATAACAATGATTCTGTATGTGTGGCAATAACTGACTGAGTAACGAAACCAATCTGTAGAGTTGTATATGGTGTGATAACATGACATGTAAAATGAAACACCGCATTAAACACCTCAGTTCTTTTTGCTGGTTTCCTACATTATTCAGTGGATTATTTCGTTCATCCTGAAATTCACTTTTCCTCTACAGGGGAGAGAATCGGGAACAGTAAACAGGTACTCCATGCCAATGTTGTCACTGACACACAAATATGCCCTCAATTACCGTCCCTACCAATTCGCCCTCAACTGTACGTCTAGGTGAGTATCTTGACAATGTATAAATTTATGAAACAATATATGTAATTATCTAGGGGATAAAATATGTGTATAAACCATATAAATATCTGTATTTGTATCTAGGTAGATCTTAGACATTCTAAGCAATATAACACACTACATAATTTAATTAAGGTTTATCATTGGTGTCTGACTACAATGTTTGTCTGACAGCTTTGTAAGATTTGATCTATCATTTTCATTGGTGTCTGACTACAAGGTTTGTCTGACAGCTTTATAAGATTTGATCTATCATTACCATTGGTGTCTGACTACAATGTTTGTCTGACAGCTTTGTAAGATTTGATCTATCATTATCATTGGTGTCTGACTACAAGGTTTGTCTGACAGCTTTGTAAGATTTGATCTACCATTACCATTGGTGTCTGACTACAATGTTTGTATGACAGCTTTGTAAGATTTGATCTATCATTACCATTGGTGTCTGACTACAAGGTTTGTCTGACAGCTTTGTAAGATTTGATCTATCATTATCATTGCATTGTTAGATAATTGTAAGACGATCTGTTGTTAATTATGCCTTTGATTTATATTTGACTTTAATTGACAGCCGCCTGGCCACCATTGACATCAGTGGAGTGTTGACCTTCTTCGACCTTGACACACGGATAACCGACACAGATGGAAAAGAAAGCATCGGGGAGCAACTCAAGTTTGAGCGCAAGGATGTGTGGGACATGAAATGGGCAGAGGTGAGGATGTGCCTCTAGGTCGGGGTTTGTTTTTGTTTTTTATTGTTTAACGTCCTTATTAACAGCTATGGTCGTTTAAGGACGTGCCTCCTTGTATGTTGTGTATGTGTTTATGTGTGTATGTGTGTATGTGTGCTGGAGGTGAGGTATGTTGGGGTACTTGCCTCCTTGTGATAGCGCGTATCTGATGCCAACTTGATAGTGCTTTCTCACTGATACACCATGCTGGAGGCACCCAGCACAGCATTCCGCCCAGTCACATACTGACAAAGGGTAGAAAATATGGATGGAAAGAGGGTAAGGAGATGATATGAAATGATAGCTTAAGTAAAGGGGAAAGTATTATTTTATTTTTTAACTGTTTTCAGATTGTTTCATGGGCAATAGGCATGCCCATCACATTATAGAAAAATAAAACATAGACCTCTAACATTTCATGGTGGAAAAGACAACTTCTTGTCTAAAAAAAACACAAACAAAGATTCAAACCTGACTTCCACATTGTTTACATCTTTGTCACACTTGTATTACTACTTATTTTCGGTTCCTAGTGTTATGACACAAATCACTATATTCTTGGTTGGTGACATTGCATCACAAATGTAACTATTTGGTGCTTAACATACAAAACCTATGGGATTCCCTACCCCTGTGTATAATCGCAAAGAGGCTCAGTGCTGGCACTATAGCTTTGTATCAAGTACATTTTAAAGATTTCTTAAAAGTTTTCATGGCATCCCATGTGAATCTATTGCTAAGCCATGTATGATTAAAACAGATGTTATCAAGTTATTTTTAATCAAAACCATACAATGTTAAAATTATTTTATTGTTCACCAGGACAATCCCGAGTTGTTTTCTATGATGGAGAAGACAAGGATGTACATCTTCAGGAACCTTGACCCTGAGGTAAGACAGTGAACCTTGACCCTGAGGTAAGACAGTGAAGTTCATCAACATCTCCAGGAGTCTAACGTCAATGTCCTCTGATAGATGTTCAGACACTTGTTTGCCTTTTCAGTTGTTATAAATTCAGTCTTTTACCACTTCAGTACAAGCCTAAAACTCACTAGTCTAAAGTCGTTGGTTATGTATCAGATTAAATGGAATAGCCATGTCATATTGAAAAACATCATTTTATTCTCTAAAACAGCGAAAATGTTACAGATAAATATTGGGATATTACAAAATTGAGAATTCAAAAACAATCTCTGTTTTCCTTCTTTTTTTTATGCTGAACCTGACATACGTTGCATCAGTGAAGTATAATTAATGGATGAGAAACTAAAATAGACGGAAACTTGACATTGTTCAGAGTTTCTTATGTTCTTATTAAATGACCTTTTAATTCTGAACTTTGACCTTACCAGGAGCCAATCCTGAGTAGCGGTTACATCTGTCAGTTTAATGACCTGACCATCAAGTCGGTGCTGCTGGACGAGATCATGAAGGACCCAGAAAACCCCACAAAGGACAGCATGGCCGAGATGGAAATCAAGGTGAGCAGTTACTTGTGTTTTTGTTTTGTTAGCCACAATCTGTCACTGTATGTTGTGCGTATATCCTTCAGTGAAAAACAGTATTGAAATGAGATGCAGCAGGTCAACACATAGATGATGGTATTGTAGTAGCACATACCCTGACAACAGGACAACAGTGTGTTATCTCATTGGTCAATAGTTATGTCACCCTGGTAAAATACTAGCCGCTTCCTACCGACTCAACTAGGGAGAATTCTCATTCGGTAGAGCGTAAGACTAGTAAGCCAGAGGTCCCGGGTTTGACTCCTAGCGGAGGCATTGAAAAAATAATGACCTCTGTTACATTGGCACCCACGTAGGGACCCGTGTTATGTTGACAAATATACTGAGCAATACTTTCACAAAAATAGCTATGACCCCCCCAGGAAAACTTGGGACGATTATTTTCCTTTATGTCACCCAGTAAAATACTAGCCGATTCCTACCGACTAGGGAGAATTTCTCGTTAGCTCATATGGTAGAGCGTTAGACTAGTAAGCCAGAGGTCCCGGGTTCGACTCCTAGCGGAGCATTGAGAAAATAATGACCTCTGTTACAGTTATGTTAATAAACTTTATCACTCATTGCATAAACATAACAAACATTACTTGATGTATAATGATATGTACAGTTATGATATAGATAAAATGTAATACAATGTTATATAAATACTAAGGCAGTGTTGGTTCTATCCACAGTCTCTGAGGGACACCCGAGATCTCCTGGAGAAAGTCGGGATCGCCGACGCTCAACAGTTCATCGAGGACAATCCACACCCTAGGTTATGGTAAGATTAGAAGTTGTGATATTTGTGCTTCTTTCTAAAATAATTTTAGTTTATTACAGTGTACTGACAAAGTTCTGTTGAAAGAAATATCCTACAGGCACCAATAAAAAAAAAATAGCATCATTTTCATTTTTAGTTACACCTTTAAAATAAGGTAAATTTAAAGGCATTCTTACAAAAAAAAACAACCCTGATTTATAAAAGATTCATTCTAAGCAATGAATATTATGTAAAAGTTTATAAAATATGTTTGCTTTTATTTTCAGATTTTTTTTTTATAATATACAAGTCATAGAATATTTTATAGTTTTGAACATAGTGTTTAATGGTTTGTTGGTCCTCTATCTGATACACAATAAAACTGGTGTACAATCTAGGGAGCCGAAAACTTTCAGTTGAACTGCATTAGAGTTTCGTATTGTAATTAGTAATTACCGAAACATCGTTTCTACAATAAAACTTATGTCTGTTACTTTTTTTAGGAGATTGCTGGCCGAGTCAGCGCTGGAGCAGCTAAACCTCAAAGTGGCGGAGACTGCATTTGTCCGTTGTCGTGACTACCAAGGAATAGAGTTTGTAAAGCGGTTAGGAAACCTCCAGGTAAACAATGCTAATTTCTACCACAGTTCTATTGTTTCCACAGTTTATCACTACGATCAGAGAAACCTTAGTTTCCACAGTTTATCACCATGATCAGAGAAGCCTCAGTTTCCACAGTTTATCACTATGATCAGAGAAACCTCAGTTTCCACAGTTTATCACTATGATCAGAGAAGCCTCAGTTTCCACAGTTTATCACTACGATCAGAGAAGCCTCAGTTTCCACAGTTTATCACCACGATCAGAGAAGCCTCAGTTTCCACAGTTTATCACTACGATCAGAGAAGCCTCAGTTTCCACAGTTTATCACTACGATCAGAGAAGCCTCAGTTTCCACAGTTTATCACTACGATCAGAGAAGCCTCAGTTTCCACAGTTTATCACTACGATCAGAGAAGCCTCAGTTTCCACAGTTTATCACTACGATCAGAGAAGCCTCAGTTTCCACAGTTTATCACTACGATCAGAGAAGCCTCAGTTTCCACAGTTTATCACTACGATCAGAGAAGCCTCAGTTTCCACAGTTTATCACTACGATCAGAGAAGCCTCAGTTTCCACAGTTTATCACTACGATCAGAGAAGCCTCAGTTTCCACAGTTTATCACTACGATCAGAGAAGCCTCAGTTTCCACAGTTTATCACTACGATCAGAGAAGCCTCAGTTTCCACAGTTTATCACTACGATCAGAGAAGCCTCAGTTTCCACAGTTTATCACTACGATCAGAGAAGCCTCAGTTTCCACAGTTTATCACTACGATCAGAGAAGCCTCAGTTTCCACAGTTTATCACTACGATCAGAGAAGCCTCAGTTTCCACAGTTTATCACTACGATCAGAGAAGCCTCAGTTTCCACAGTTTATCACTACGATCAGAGAAGCCTCAGTTTCCACAGTTTATCACTACGATCAGAGAAGCCTCAGTTTCCACAGTTTATCACTACGATCAGAGAAGCCTCAGTTTCCACAGTTTATCACTACGATCAGAGAAGCCTCAGTTTCCACAGTTTATCACTACGATCAGAGAAGCCTCAGTTTCCACAGTTTATCACTACGATCAGAGAAGCCTCAGTTTCCACAGTTTATCACCACGATCAGAGAAGCCTCAGTTTCCACAGTTTATCACTACGATCAGAGAAGCCTCAGTTTCCACAGTTTATCACTACGATCAGAGAAGCCTCAGTTTCCACAGTTTATCACTACGATCAGAGAAGCCTCAGTTTCCACAGTTTATCACTACGATCAGAGAAGCCTCAGTTTCCACAGTTTATCACTACGATCAGAGAAGCCTCAGTTTCCACAGTTTATCACTACGATCAGAGAAGCCTCAGTTTCCACAGTTTATCACTACGATCAGAGAAGCCTCAGTTTCCACAGTTTATCACTACGATCAGAGAAGCCTCAGTTTCCACAGTTTATCACTACGATCAGAGAAGCCTCAGTTTCCACAGTTTATCACTACGATCAGAGAAGCCTCAGTTTCCACAGTTTATCACTACGATCAGAGAAGCCTCAGTTTCCACAGTTTATCACTACGATCAGAGAAGCCTCAGTTTCCACAGTTTATCACTACGATCAGAGAAGCCTTAGTTTCCACAGTTTATCACTACGATCAGAGAAGCCTTAGTTTCCACAGTTTATCACCACGATCAGAGAAGCCTCAGTTTCCACAGTTTATCACTACGATCAGAGAAGCCTCAGTTTCCACAGTTTATCACTACGATCAGAGAAGCCTCAGTTTCCACAGTTTATCACTACGATCAGAGAAGCCTCAGTTTCCACAGTTTATCACTACGATCAGAGAAGCCTCAGTTTCCACAGTTTATCACTACGATCAGAGAAGCCTCAGTTTCCACAGTTTATCACTACGATCAGAGAAGCCTCAGTTTCCACAGTTTATCACTACGATCAGAGAAGCCTCAGTTTCCACAGTTTATCACTACGATCAGAGAAGCCTCAGTTTCCACAGTTTATCACTACGATCAGAGAAGCCTCAGTTTCCACAGTTTATCACTACGATCAGAGAAGCCTCAGTTTCCACAGTTTATCACTACGATCAGAGAAGCCTCAGTTTCCACAGTTTATCACTACGATCAGAGAAGCCTCAGTTTCCACAGTTTATCACTACGATCAGAGAAGCCTTAGTTTCCACAGTTTATCACCACGATCAGAGAAGCCTCAGTTTCCACAGTTTATCACTACGATCAGAGAAGCCTCAGTTTCCACAGTTTATCACTACGATCAGAGAAGCCTCAGTTTCCACAGTTTATCACTACGATCAGAGAAGCCTCAGTTTCCACAGTTTATCACTACGATCAGAGAAGCCTCAGTTTCCACAGTTTATCACTACGATCAGAGAAGCCTCAGTTTCCACAGTTTATCACTACGATCAGAGAAGCCTCAGTTTCCACAGTTTATCACTACGATCAGAGAAGCCTCAGTTTCCACAGTTTATCACTACGATCAGAGAAGCCTCAGTTTCCACAGTTTATCACTACGATCAGAGAAGCCTCAGTTTCCACAGTTTATCACTACGATCAGAGAAGCCTCAGTTTCCACAGTTTATCACTACGATCAGAGAAGCCTCAGTTTCCACAGTTTATCACTACGATCAGAGAAGCCTCAGTTTCCACAGTTTATCACTACGATCAGAGAAGCCTTAGTTTCCACAGTTTATCACTACGATCAGAGAAGCCTTAGTTTCCACAGTTTATCACAATGATCAGAGAAACCTTAGTTTCCACAGTTTATCACTATGATCAGAGAAACCTCAGTTTCCACAGATTATCACTACGATCAGAGAAGCCTTAGTTTCCACAGTTTATCACTATGATCAGAGAAACCTTAGTTTCCACAGTTTATCACTATGATCAGAGAAACCTTAGTTACCACAGTTTATCACTACGATCAGGGAAGCCTCAGTTTCCACAGTTTATCACTATGATCAGAGAAGCCTCAGTTCCCACAGTTTATCACTACGATCAGGGAAGCCTCAGTTTCCACAGTTTATCCCAACTATAAGAGAAGCCTTAGTTTCCACATTTTATCACTACGATCAAAGAAGCCTCAGTTTCCTCAGTTTATGACTATGATCAGAGAAGCCTTAATTTCCACAGTTTATCACTACGATCAGAGAAGCCTTAGTTTCCACAGTTTATCACTACGGTCAGAGAAGCCTCAGTTTCCTCAGTTTATCACTATGATCAGAGAAGCCTTAATTTCCACAGTTTATCACTACGATCAGAGAAGCCTCAGTTTCCACAGTTAAACACTATGATCAGAGAAGTCTTAATTTCCACAGTTTATTATCTCTATGATCAGAGAAGTCTTAATTTCCACAGTTTATCACTGCGATCAGAGAAGCCTTAGTGACCACAGTTTATCACCACGATCAGAGAAGCCTTAGTTTCCACAGTTTATCACTACAATCAGAGAAGCCTTAGTTACCACAGTTTATCACCACGATCAGAGAAGCCTCAGTTTCCACAGTTTATCACTACGATCAGAGAAACCTTAGTTTCCACAGTTTATCACTACGATCAGAGAAGCCTCAGTTACCACAGTTTATCACTACGATCAGAGAAGCCTTAGTTTCCACAGTTTATCACCACGATCAGAGAAGCCTCAGTTTCCACAGTTTATCACTACGATCAGACAAGCCTCAGTTTCCATAGTTTATCACTACGATCAGAGAAGCCCAAGTTACCACAGTTTATCACTACGATCAGAGAAGCCTCGGAGCAATCTAATGATATGAATTACCTCATCAGTAATATTAACAGTAGCTATCTTTCAATTCATTAATTAATTTTTGTCTTTTTTCACAGAATGAGAATATGAAACAGGCTGAGGTGGCAGCATATTTCCGACGATTTGAGGAGGCAGAAAGGAAATATCTAGACATGGACAGACGGTAGTGTCACTTTATTTCTTCTGATTAAATGTATCACTGTTCTCATTCGAAATACTGCATTAAGTTTGTATTATATCTTATTTATCTGCCTAACTCCTGATCTCTTACCTGTCTGATCCTAATCTCTCACTTGTCTGATCCCTAATCTCTCACCTGTCTGACCCCTAATCTCTCACCTGTCTGACCCCTAATCTCTCACCTGTCTGAACCCTAATATCTTTCCTGTCTGATCCTAATCTCTCACCTGTCTGTTCCTAATTTCTTACCTGTCTGATCATAATTTCTCACATGTCTGATCCTAATCTCTCACCTGTCTGATCCTAATCTTTTACCTGTCTGATCCTAATCTCTTACCTGTCTGATACTAATCTCTTACCTGTCTGATCCTAATTTCTTACCTGTCTGATCCTAATCTCTCACCTGTCTGATCCTAATCTCTTACCTGTCTGATCCTAATTTCTTACATGTCTGATCCTAATCTCTTACCTGTCTGACCCTTATCTCTTACCTGTCTGATTCTAATTTCTTACCTGTCTGATCCTAATTTCTTACCTGTCTGATCATAATTTCTTACATGTCTGATCCTAATCTCTCACCTGTCTGATCCTAATTTCTTACCTGTCTGCTCCTAATCTCTCACCTGTCTGATCCTAATCTCTTACCTGTCTGACACCTAATCTCTTACCTGTCTGAACCCTAATATCTTTCCTGTCTGATCCTAATCTCTCACCTGTCTGATCCTAATCTCTTACCTGTCTGATCCTAATTTCTTATCTGTCTGATCCTAATCTCTTACCTGTCTGACCCCTAATCTCTTACCTGTCTGAACCCTAATATCTTTCCTGTCTGATCCTAATCTCTCACCTGTCTGTTCCTAATTTCTTACCTGTCTGATCATAATTACTTACCTGTCTGATCCTAATTTCTTACCTGTCTAATCCTAATCTCTCACCTGTCTGATCCTAATCTCTTACCTGTCTGACCCTTATCTCTTACCTGTCTGATCATAATTTCTTACCTGTCTGATCCTAATTTCTTACCTGTCTGATCATAATTTCTTACCTGTCTGATCATAATTACTTACCTGTCTGATCCTAATTTCTTACCTGTCTAATCCTAATCTCTCACCTGTCTGATCCTAATCTCTCACCTGTCTGATCCTAATCTCTTACCTGTCTGATCCTAATTTCTTATCTGTCTGATCCTAATTTCTTACCTGTCTGACCCCTAATATCTTACCTGTCTGATCCTAATCTCTTACCTGTCTGATCCTAACCTCTCACATCTGTTGTCACCAGAGATCTTGCGGTTAGTCTGAGGAAGAAACTTGGGGACTGGTTTCGTGTGGTCCAGCTGCTGAAGACTGGGTCAGGTGGAGACGATGTACAATTAGAAGAGGCATGGAACGCCATCGGAGATTACTACGCTGACCGCCAGAAATGGTTGGTAAACTAGGATAGCTATGTTGTCAAGTTTTAAATAACAGATTTATTAATCTTTAACCTGAAATCTAGTTAAATTTTTACTTATTGTACTTTGGTAGTATTTTATTGGCATGTGTTTAATGGGAAGCGTAAAAACTTTTCTGTAATTATATGTGATGTGTTTTGTTTCTTGCCCAAATCTAGGCAGCAGGCGGTGACGTACTACGTCCAGGGAAGGAACCAGGAACGTCTGGCTGAGTGTTACTACATGTTGGAGGACTACACGGGACTAGAGAAGATGGTTCAGGCTCTGCCCGAGAACCAAAAACTGTTACCGGTACGAATAAAACACCTCACACCTCGACACAACACTATCTTGACTTAGGAGCCAAGTACCAAAACTTTCAAAGCTAGTTTTACTGGCATGGCTATAGTTCTGATCATTCATTTCAGAAAAGATATATTTACCTTTATATGTGACTTTAATCAAAACAGATTCAGATGAAATAAACCAAAAAAAATTATTATTGTTCTGAGAGTAAAAAATCAGAGTAGTTAGACAAATATTCGAACTGTAGACCTCAAATTGTTATACTGAAGCTCAAACCAACTGAGATATCTGGTCATTGGAGGTGTCCATGGCCAACTGAGATATCTGTTCTGTGGAAGTTTCCAGGACCAACTAAGATATCTGGTCAGTGGAAGTGTCCAGGACCAACTAAGATATTTGGTCAGTGGAAGTGTCCAGGACTAACTGTGATATCTGGTCATTGGAGGTGTCAATGACCAACTGAGATATCTGGTCAGTGGAAGTTTCCAGGACCAACTAAGATATCTGGTTAGTGGAAGTTTCCAGGACTAACTGTGATATCTGGTCATTGAAGGTGTCCATGGCCAACTGAGATATCTGGTCATTGGAAGTTTCCAGGACCAACTAAGATATCTGATTAGTGGAAGTTTCCAGGATTAACTGTGATATCTGGTCAGTGGAGGTGTGAATGACCAACTGAGATATCTGGTCATTGGAGGTGTCCATGACCAACTGAGATATCTGGTCAGTGGAAGTTTCCAGGACCAACTAAGATATCTGGTTAGTGGAAGTTTCCAGGACTAACTAAGATATCTGGTCATTGAAGGTGTCCATGGCCAACTGAGATATCTGGTCATTGGAGGTGTCCATGGCCAACTGAGATATTTGGTCATTGGAGGTGTCAATGACCAACTGAGATATCTGGTCAGTGGAAGTTTCCAGGACCAACTAAGATATCTGGTTAGTGGAAGTTTCCAGGACTAACTGTGATATCTGGTCATTGGAGGTGTCCATGGCCAACTGAGATATCTGGTTAGTGGAAGTTTCCAGGACCAACTAAGATATCTGGTCATTGAAGGTGTCCATGGCCAACTGAGATATCTGGTTAGTGGAAGTTTCCAGGACTAACTGTGATATCTGGTCAGTGGAGGTGTCCATGGCCAAATAAGATATCTGGTCATTGGAGGTGTCCATGGCCAACTGAGATATCTGGTTAGTGGAAGTTTCCAGGACTAACTGTGATATCTGGTCAGTGGAAGTGTGCAGGGCCAACTAAAATATCTGGTCAGTGGAAGTGTCCAGGACCAACTGTGATATCTGGTCAGGGAAAGTGTCCAGGACCAACTGCGCTACAGCTATATTCAAACATTAAGGGGAGGTAACTGTCAATTGGCTATCTATTACCTATTTTGAGCTTTTCCACAGAAAAGTTCCTCAGTATTAGTTTTATGGACATTGAGCAAGTGAGCTTTTGCTATAAAGCCACCTGTAGGGTGCTAAGATAAAGGACTATCAAAACTGTTAAAATGATTGTCCTTGCCCCTCTTATATGGATAGAGAAGTCAATTAATTGAAGATACATGTAGATAACTTAGTCTCCACCTGTAGAACCAACACGACTAGGGTGATGGTATTTGTCCTTGGGCATGATGGGACACTTTGACCTACTTTCAAGGTCACCAGGGTATGATGCACTAAGATACTTGTTAGTAACCAAGAGGAGCTGAGTTGTGACATTTGACACGGAAGAATGGGTCATCTAGCTTCTTCATATAAATGACCTTGAAGCACTTGCAGTGTTTATTAGTAATTTAATTGAAAATCTCCCAAGAAAGGTTCATAAAGTGTGTGGTTGCTATCAAGTTTGTTTAAAAAGAATTAACATTGATCTACTGTGAAGGTCACAGATATGTGATGTCTTTGTCATTGACTAACAGGTAGACAGTACTGTACAGCGGGAAACTTTCGCCCTTGGCCCATGAAATCAACTATCTTCCAGTATTAGTTTCACCGTTCACATTCAGTTACTATGTATATATGTTATGTTGTTTACTTATATTCATTGTAATGATAAATTCAACCCCATTACAAAGGGCGAAAAAGGCAAAAAGGCAACCGCAGTGACAAGTTACTGTTATACACTATTAGTCGGTATTTTCGTTAATTTCTTAAATACCATGTTATATAGGCTTTCTGTTTGTTTTCAGGATATCGCGGCCATGTTTGTTACTGTGGGCATGTGTGAGCAGGCTGTCAGTGCTTACTCTAAGGTAAGGATCTAAAACTCAACGAATGAGCAGATTGTTTGAGTGTGTATAATTGCTTGTAAAACACTCAATTTACAGTTACAATGAAATCAAATTTATCTGGACATTAAATTTATGGTTGCAATGAAGTCTAGTTAATGCCAAAACTTACATCAAGTATTGAGTCTAGTAAATCACGATACACATAGTCTCAATGAAGTTTCCGTTGTCTGGACACTTAATTTACAATGACAAAGGAATTTACAAGTATATCCAGACACTAAATTTTCTTTATGGAGAAAAGGCAAACCAGACAGTTACAATGAAATCTAGCTAATCAAGACACTAAGTTTACAATTATTATTGACTAGTCAATCCAGACACGTCAATCTACTGGTACTATGGAATGTAGTAAGCCTGGGTAACAGGACTAATGGACCAAGCTTCTAGAATCTACAGTTGCTATGGACATTATCATTTTCCAAATAGTATGATGTGATCATGAGCAGTGTAATAAATGGACTGTTACATTCCTTAAATGACAACTTTTCGTTTCCAGTGTAACCACATCAAGAAGGCCATCGACTGCTGTGTCCACCTGAACCAGTGGAACATGGCTATAGAGCTGGCAAAGTCTAACAACGTACGGGAGATCGACTCTCTACTGGCCAAGTATGCTCAACATCTCCTGGAGAAAAATAAAACTGTCAACGCCATAGAACTATACAGAAAGGCTGGGCATTACCTAGAGGCTGCTAAACTCCTGTTTCAGGTAGGTTTTAGGCATCCTTGTAGAGTTCTACAGAAAGGTTGGCCATTACCTAGAGGCTGCTAACCTCCTGTTTCAGGTAGGTTTTAGGTGTCCTTGTAGAGTTCTACAGAAAGGTTGGCCATTACCTAGAGGCTGCTAAACTCCTGTTTCAGGTAGGGTTTAGGCATCCTTGTAGAGTTCTACAGAAAGGTTGGCCATTACCTAGAGGTGGCCAAAATTACAGTGTATTCATAATTTGGGCATTGTCATCTATTACTGCACAACAGGTGTGTGTTCCTTTTATTTTAGGGTAAGTGAACAGTTCCATTGTTCATTTAGAAAGAAGAAAACATGCCAGAAGATTTCTTTTAAATATTCCACTAGGCTAGTTCTGTTGATATAAAATTGTACTCCTTGTTTATATGAGAATACCTCTTTCGATGTCAGCGTGTGCTGTACTGAAATGCCCTATACAAAGTTATAGCCCTTTATTCACTGGTGATACCGAAATGTAACTAGAGGTAAGGCTGGTTGGTTTTTTGGTGATGATGACTGATATGAAATTTCCCATCCAAGATTTTTCAATATGAACATTACATTATTATAACAGTTACTATAGCAACAAATTTTCTTTGACCAATCCAAACACAATCATGAAATTTTGGGTGTCAGTCTGTTGTCACTTTGTTTACACATCTCATTTGAAATTGGATCATATATTATATAATCTGGTTGTAACCTTGAAATCTATAGTGCCTTAACCTCTAAATCCAACTGTTCTGTTTACCTCCCTGATAGATGGCACAGGAGCAAGCCAAGAAACGAGAAAAGCCACTCCACATCAAGAAGATGTTTGTACTGGGAGGCCTTCTTATAGAGCAATATCACGAGCAAATGAAGATGACCTCAAGGGCAAAGGTCAAGGACAAGAAGGGAGCCATGGTAATGTTTTTATCCGTACATCAAATTTTATTTTATATTTGAGAGAGTGGAGACAACGATTTATTTTATTGACTTCCATAAAATCTTCTATAAGATCATCCTCAATATCCAGGGGCTACTCTCACTTACGCTCTCTACACTGACTTCCATAAAATCTTCTATAAGATCATCCTCAATATCCAGGGGCTAATCTCACTTACGCTCTCTACACCCCTGGAGCCATCCTTGATATCCAGGGGCTACTCTCACTTACACTCTCTACACCCCTGGAATCATCCTTAATATCCAGGGGCTACTCTCACTTCCGCTCTCTACACCCCTGGAACCATCCTTGATATCCAGGGGTTACTCTCACTTACACCCTCTACACCCCTGGAACCATCCTCAATATCCAGGGGCTACTATCACTTACGCTCTCTACACCCCTGGAATCATCCTCAATATCCAGGGGCTACTCTCACTTACGCTCTCTAAACCCCTGGAATCATCCTCAATATCCAGGGGTTACTCTCACTTACACTCTCTACACCCCTGGAACCATCCTCGATATCCAGGGGTTACTCTCACTTACGCTCTCTAAACCCCTGGAATCATCCTCGATATCTAGGGGTTACTCTCACTAACACTCTCTACACCTCTGGAATCATCCTCGATAACCAGGAGTTATGCTCACTTACACTCTCTATACCCCTGGAATATGTCATAACAAAACTGAAGGGTCGGTGTGCGCCACCTTGTTGATGAGACAGGAAGACTAGTTCCATCCTTTGATGTACATCAAAGGAATCTTGCGGTCACATAACGGTAAGAATTGACAGGCTTTGAAATCGGGTGTCTCTCCTATGTAATCTTCAAAGGACAGGTATCAGTCTAGCGATTGGTCAGTTTTGTTTTACCCGAGACCAATCAAACAGCTTTCTTCGTACCTTCAATTTTGCTATGACATATTGATATCGAAGATGCTATTAAATTTGACCCAACCACAGAGTATAAGGTAAAGGTATCATGGAAGAATTAATTTTGATCTAATTTGGTAGTGATAGTTGAATGAGTTTTAACATCAAGTTGTACCCTGTAGAGCTGTCCTATCATGTTAACTTCAGAACCGGACTTATTTACAGCTTCAGTTATTTTACTTTTACGTGTAATACAATTTAATATTCACTTTATTCATTCACTTCCTCTTTCACTGTTTATCTAACAGGCTGCATCTGCATTGGCTGGATTCTTAGAGGAGGACACCACTGCTATAACAGACAGTAAACTGATAGACAGTGCCTGGAGGGGGGCTGAGGCCTACCATTTCTATATCCGTGCCCAGAGACAGTTACTAGAGGGTGGGTATTGATAGCAATGTTAGCGGGGGAGAGTCATCAAGAAACATTTATTATATGGCATCACTTTATGATGTTTGTGGGTTGTATTTTGTTGTCAGTTAACAATCCCTGTTTACCGTTTGATGTTTGTGGGTTGTATTTTGTTGTCAGTAAACAATCCCTGTTTTCCGTTTGATGTTTGTAGTATTTTGTTGGCAGTAAACAATCCCTGTTTACCATTTGATGTTTGTAGTATTTTGCTGTCAGTAAACAATCCCTGTTTTGCATTTGATGTTTGTGAGTTGTATTTTGTTGGCAGTAAACAATCCCTGTCCCCCGTTTGATGTTTGTAGTATTTTGTTGGCAGTAAACAATCCCTGTCCCCCGTTTGATGTTTGTAGTATTTTGTTGGCAGTAAACAATCCCTGTCCCCCGTTTGATGTTTGTAGTATTTTGTTGGCAGTAAACAATCCCTGTTTACCGTTTGATGTTTGTAGTATTTTGCTGTCAGTAAACAATCCCTGTTTTCCATTTGATGTTTGTGAGTTGTATTTTGTTGGCAGTAAACAATCCCTGTCCCCCGTTTGATGTTTGTAGTATTTTGTTGGCAGTAAACAATCCCTGTCCCCCGTTTGATGTTTGTAGTATTTTGTTGGCAGTAAACAATCCCTGTTTACCATTTGATGTTTGCGGGTTGTATTTTGTTGACAGTAAACAATCCCTGTTTACCATTGGATGTTTGTGGGTTGTATTTTGTTGTCAGTAAACAATCCCTGTTTACCGTTTGATGTTTGTGGGTTGTATTTTGTTGTCAGTTAACAATCCCTGTTTACCGTTTGATGTTTGTAGTATTTTGCTGTCAGTAAACAATCCCTGTTTTCCATTTGATGTTTGTGAGTTGTATTTTGTTGGCAGTAAACAATCCCTGTTTACCGTTTGATGTTTGTAGTATTTTGCTGTCAGTAAACAATCCCTGTTTTCCATTTGATGTTTGTGAGTTGTATTTTGTTGGCAGTAAACAATCCCTGTTTACCGTTTGATGTTTGTGGGTTGTATTTTGTTGACAGTAAACAATCCCTGTTTACCATTGGATGTTTGTGGGTTGTATTTTGTTGTCAGTAAACAATCCCTGTTTTCCGTTTGATGTTTGTAGTATTTTGTTGGCAGTAAACAATCCCTGTTTACCGTTTGATGTTTGTAGTATTTTGCTGTCAGTAAACAATCCCTGTTTTGCATTTGATGTTTGTGAGTTGTATTTTGTTGGCAGTAAACAATCCCTGTTTACCATTTGATGTTTGCGGGTTGTATTTTGTTGACAGTAAACAATCCCTGTTTACCATTTGATGTTTGCGGGTTGTATTTTGTTGACAGTAAACAATCCCTGTTTACCATTTGATGTTTGCGGGTTGTATTTTGTTGACAGTAAACAATCCCTGTTTACCATTTGATGTTTGCGGGTTGTATTTTGTTGACAGTAAACAATCCCTGTTTACCATTTGATGTTTGTGTGTTGTATTTTGTTGTCAGTAAACAATCCCTGTTTTCCGTTTGATGTTTGTAGTATTTTGTTGGCAGTAAACAATCCCTGTTTACCATTTGATGTTTGTTGGTTGTATTTTGTTGTCAGTAAACAATCCCTGTTTTCCGTTTGATGTTTGTAGTATTTTGTTGGCAGTAAACAATCCCTGTCCCCCGTTTGATGTTTGTAGTATTTTGTTGGCAGTAAACAATCCCTGTCCCCCGTTTGATGTTTGTAGTATTTTGTTGGCAGTAAACAATCCCTGTCCCCCGTTTGATGTTTGTAGTATTTTGTTGGCAGTAAACAATCCCTGTTTACCATTTGATGTTTGCGGGTTGTATTTTGTTGACAGTAAACAATCCCTGTTTACCATTTGATGTTTGCGGGTTGTATTTTGTTGACAGTAAACAATCCCTGTTTACCATTTGATGTTTGCGGGTTGTATTTTGTTGACAGTAAACAATCCCTGTTTACCATTGGATGTTTGTGGGTTGTATTTTGTTGTCAGTAAACCCTGTTTTACATCCTACCATTTCTATATCCTGGCCCAGAGACAGGTACTAGAGGGGAGGTAATGACAGTGTCTGGAGGGGGGCTGAAGCCTACCATTTCTATATCCTGGCCCAGAGACCGTTACTAGAGGGTAGGTAATGACAGTGTCTGGAGCCGCGGGGGGCTGAGGCCTACCATTTCTATATCGTGGCCCAGAGACAGTTACTAGAGGGTAGGGAATGACTGTGTCTGGAGGGGGGCTGAGGCCTATCATTTCTATATCCTGGCCCAGAGACAGTTACTAGAGGGTAGGTAATGACAGTGTCTGGAGCCCCGGGGGGCTGAGGCCTACCATTTCTATATCCCTGCCCAGAGACAGTTACTAGAGGGTGGGTATTGATAGCAATGTTAGCAGGGGAGAGTCATCAAGAAACATTTATTATATGGCATCACTTTATGATGTTTGTGGGTTGTATTTTGTTGTCAGTAAACAATCCCTGTTTACCGTTTGATGTTTGTGGGTTGTATTTTGTTGTCAGTAAACAATCCCTGTTTACCATTTGATGTTTGTTTGTAGTATTTTGTTGTCAGTAAACCCTGTTTTACATTGTACAGGCTATGTGGATGCTGCCATGAGGACCACTCTGTTCCTGAGAGAATACGATGACATCATTGATGCTGTTGATATCTATGCTTTACTGGGTGAGATGTCCGTTTTGTTCCCTTTTACCCTGGTTCCCATTATTATTAGCCTTCTAAAATCAGGACTGGTGTTTATTTTTCATACCGTAGTTTGTCTCTTTAGTACCATAGCTGCCGAAACTTAACCAAATTGTTAAGACAATTTAACATGAACCAGAATAATTTTATAAGTTTAATGGTTTAGAAGTTACACACCTTAATCTTGATTTGACCTTTCTATTCTTCCAAATATGCATATTGGCTAATAAGGGGAGATATATATTTTTGTTCACAAAAACAAATTTCTAGTTAATCTTGTATGTAAAAAAGCATTCATATTTATGGACTATTAGCCTTGTGGTTAAAGAATACTTGATTGGTTAAGAGGAAAATCTGAAGTCAAGTTTGTGTAAGTTTTTTTGATTTTTTCTTATTTTGCGTTTCTGTACGCAGCTCTGACCTCGAGTGCCAACAAGGCTTTTGGAACGTGTTCAAAGGCATTTATCAAGCTTGAAACACTAGACACATTACCGCAGGACCAGCGACAGGCTTACGAGGAACTGGCCCTGGAAATATTTACAAAGTAAGAGGATGTATATCTTAAGGCTTATGAAGTAGTGTTATCAATATGTTACGGGGGGGAATCCGAGATTATGTCACGTCAGACTTAACCTCAAGTAACTCAAAACTTAAAACTGTGAATGTTTTTTCACATAAAATTGAAAAAAGAAATTTAAAAAGCTTATTTACATAATCCATTCAACACTGCTGAAAGAGTTTGGGAGATATGTAACAGTCACTGTTACATTTTCAGAACACTGGTAATTCTGACCAATCAGCTTCCAATTCTAACTTGGATCTGGTCTAAAAATAGATCATACTCTTTTTGACATGCACACAGTGCACTGGGATTATTACATAACTTCGACCTTCTATGTTGAGGTCATTCCTACATCAGGACATTTTTTTCTGATATTTTTCTGGATTTTTTTTCATGCATAGAAATATTCAGTGTTGCAGGAAAATTCTTTTCAAAGTTAAACGGAAAATCAGAAAATGATGAATATTCATGATGATACCAGAATATAAACTCCTTTAACTAACGGTGAATATTGGTGATTACAGGAAGAGCCCAAAGGACAGTCGGACCAATAAGGTGGAATGTACCAGCTGTGCCACAAGCATTCCTGACTGGTAAGTTTAGCTCTCTCACATACTTTAACCCTTTCACCACTGTAGACCATAATGGATTCACCCAGATCAATGTATGGTAGAGTCTACTGAAGTAATATAGTGGTGAAAGGGTTAAACAAATCTTCATCAAATAATGACAAAATTTTACATAAAGTGACATGATCACTCCACAGCCATACAGAGGTCAGGGTTTTTGTGAACTATACTAACAATATTCTGAATATATAAAGTAATGTGCATTCCATTTACCTGGTAGGGATTTTAAAAAAGGATTACTTAATAATCAGATTGTGTAATATATTGAATGGCATTATATCCGTAGCTCTTTAATTACATGATAATCTATGGCTTTATAGTTGATCATGTGCTCTCACAGAATATATTGAGCTGAGCCAAAAATGTTAATTTACTTGTTTTATTCTAGGTCGACGGTTTGTCCGAACTGTGACACCAAGTTCCCCACCTGTATTGTGACGGGTCGGCCATTGATGGAGTATCAGTTCTGGATGTGCAGTGCCTGTAAACATCGTGCATATGAGTCCGAGATCACGAACAGACAGACATGTCCGCTATGTCACACCCCTGTCTAATACCTCCGCAACATACTGTTTATTTTCTTAACCAATGATTACTACAAAACACACATCAAATTTAATAGGCTCTCCTGTTTGGATAAACTGACTCAGATTTCCATTGTGAAATTTTAATAACCATTCATGAGCAGTCAGCTGTCACTATGTATAGTCAGTGTCCAGTAGACTCTTGTTACTATGGTACCAGTCAGTGTCCAGTAGACTCTTGGTAGCATGGTTCAGTCAGTGTCAAGTAGACTCTTAAGTTACTATGGTACCAGTCAGTGTCCAGTAGACTCTTGTTACCATGGTTCAGTCAGTGTCAAGTAGACTCTTAAGTTACTTTGGTACCAGTCAGTGTCTAGTAGACTCTTGTTACCATGGTTCAGTCAGTGTCAAGTAGACTCTTAAGTTACTATGGTACCAGTCAGTGTCCAGTAGACTTTCCTGTTACTATTGTACCAGTCAGTGTCCAGCAGACTCTTGTTACATGTACTATGGTACCAGTCAGTGTCCATAGACTATCCTTTTGCTATTGTACCAGTCAGTGTCCAGTAGACTCTTGTTACCATGGTTCAGTCAGTGTCAAGTAGACTCTTAAGTTACTATGGTACCAGTCAGTGTCAAGTAGTCTCTCTGTTACTTTGGTACCACTCAGTGTACCATAGACTATCCTGTTACTATGGTACTACTCAGTGTACCATAGACTACCTTGTTACTATGGTACTACTCAGTGTACCATAGACTATCCTGGTACTATGGTACCACTCAGTGTACCATAGACTATCCTGGTACTATGGTACCACTCAGTGTACCATAGAATATCCTGGTATTATGGTACCACTCAGTGTACCATAGACTGTCCTGGTACTGTGGTAACACTCAGTGTACCATAGACTATCCTGGAACTATGGTACCACTCAGTGTACCATAGACTTTCCTGGTACTATGGTACCACTCAGTGTCCCATAGACTATCTTGGTACTATGGTACCACTCAGTGTCCCATAGACTATCTTGGTACTATGGTACCACTCAGTGTACCATAGAGTATCCTGGTACTATGGTACAACTCAGTGTACCATAGACTATCCTGGTACTATGGTACCACTCAGTGTACCATGTACTATCCTGGTACTGTGGTACCACTCAGTGTACCATAGACTATCCTGTTACTATGGTACCACTCAGTGTACCATAGACTATCCTGGTACTATGATACCAGTCAGTGTACCATAGACTATCCTGGTACTATGGACTATAGATTTGTCGGCAGCATTTCTCATATCCCCTTGGGATGGTGGAGTGTTCATACTGAAATCGACCTCGTGCTCTGCTATGGGGTCCCTCCACAATCTACAGTGTTGTGACCAATTATTCTTTCTGTCAAATTGTGTTGAGAGTAGTGGGATTATAAATTGCTTGTAATAATTTGTCTCCTTGTTATTCAATGAACAAAGTTGCTGTACAACATGATTTTATGACATTTTGAATTTAAAATTTAGCTTTATTGCTTAATGGCATTAAAATCTAAATTGACTATCATGATAACAGTAATAACTTGGTCTTTACAGAACCTCCCTTTAAATTATTCTGTGTANATATCCTGGTATTATGGTACCACTCAGTGTACCATAGACCATCCTGGTACTGTGGTAACACTCAGTGTACCATAGACTATCCTGGTACTATGATACCACTCAGTGTACCATAGACTATCCTGGTACTAGGGTACCTCTAAGTGTACCATAGACTATCCTGGTACTGTGGTACCACTCAGTGTACCATATACTATCCTGGTACTAGGGTCCCTCTAAGTGTACCATAGACTATCCTGCTACTATGGTACTACTCAGTGTACCATAGACTATCCTGGTACTATGGTACCACTCAGTGTATCATAGACTATCCTGGTACTATGGTACTACTCAGTATACCATAGACTATCCTGGTACTATGGTACCACTCAGTGTACCATAGACTATCCTGGTACTATGGACTATAGATTTGTTGGCAGCATTTCTCATATCCCCTTGGGATGGTGGAGTGTTCATACTGAAATCAACCTCGTGCTATGGGGTCCCTCCACAATCTACAGTGTTGTGACCAATTATTCTTTCTGTCAAATTGTGTTGAGAGTAGTGGGATTATAAATTGCTTGTAATAATTTGTCTCCTTGTTATTCAATGAACAAAGTTGCTGTACAACATGATTTTATGACATTTTGAATTTAAAATTTAGCTTTATTGCTTAATGGCATTAAAATCTAAATTGACTATCATGATAACAGTAATAACTTGGTCTTTACAGAACCTCCCTTTAAATTATTCTGTGTATCAGCTTCTCACAGTAACTGCTTTCACTATTAATCACTACACTAGCTATATTATCAAAATGTCCATTGTTGAGTGAAAGAAGATTTTAAGTTTTGTCGATTTGTTAACTTATAAAAGCTGAAGTGTGTTCAGTACAAGCTATGTGATGTGACGGTTGTCCTTGTGTATATATTATAGCTATTCCGTCCAATATTTATTATGATCTGATTTCTTTCATGCCATGAAAACATTCCTAATTTTGGAATGATATAAGGGGTAGGGTTGTCTAGAAACCTTGTGGAAGTTCACAGTGTGCTGTACATGCTGTTCCAGTGCTGTCATTTTATGTAGATCACTGTATTTTCTTAATTCAAGAACATTCCAGCCCTCACAAGGAATATCATCACTCCTAATCCTTGTGTCCAAAATTATATTTGTGACATTTTTAATGGTTTCTTNTAAGGACAGACATGACACTGTAACAAGGGCCAGACATGACACTGTAACAAGGGACAGACATGATACTGTAACAAGGACAGACATGATGCTGTAACAAGGGACAGACATGACACTGTAACAAGGGACAGACATGACACTGTAACAAGGGACCGACATCACACTGTAACAAGGGACAGACATGACACTGTAACAAGAGACCGACATCACACTGTAACAAGGGACAGACATCACACTGTAACAAGAGACAGACATGACACTGTAACAAGGGACAGACATGACACTGTAACAAGGGACAGACATGACGCTGTAACAAGGGACAGACATGACACTGTAACAAGGGACAGACATGACACTGTAACAAGGGACAGACATGACATGGTATAAGGGACAGACATGACACTGTAACAAGGGACAGACATGACACTGTAACCAGGAATAAAAAGAAACCAGAAAAGACAAGTGCGTTTATTAAAGGAAAATATTTATTTGTGATGAAAATAAATTACTGACACCATCCAATAGTTTCTAAGGAACAAATGATCACCCCGGAGGTTTATTGTTAATGAAGGGTGTACAACATGGTCACAAGCAGTTCATTGTATGATCATAGCACCTTGATATAAAAAGGAGTGAACAGTCAACATTGATGAAATTTTGACAACCATGATACAGAAACAGGAAGTGCTTGGTGTCAGCAGGGTTACACATATTGGTTTTAGATATGTTACTTGACGTTAGAAGTACAACTTATCAAACAAATTAAGAACTTTGAAATAACGCAAGACTCCTGAAATTTGTTTACAAATATAAGCAGATTTTTAAGTAAATTTCATTTTTTTTTCTCAAAAATATGAAATGCCTAATATTATTTATTGTTGAAATAAGTGGTCTATTGCCGATTTAAAAAAAAAGAAATCATTGCATGTTAGTGTTTCACATAAAAGACAAATGAGTAGCAGGCCTAGGTATAGCCCCTGTCCAACTTGTATCTTCAAAGGTTGACAGGACATTGGGTTATAAAGAGCTTGTCATCTGTCAAACCTGTACAATAACAACTACCTGAGCCTAAGCTTTGACCCTCGATAATCAAGGGATGAAAAATTTGCCTCTTCTGCCAAAAATTGAAATTTGCCACATTAATAAATGAACACCAAGTAACATATATCAAACACAGGTTTATGAACAGTTACCCGTCAAAACACAAACTTACAAACTTCCTCATAGGAGTTATCTATCCTTGCACCACCAGACAGACCTGGGGCCCCTTCCTTCATGTGGAACAACCAAGTTATCTGTTTTTAAATGTAACATTTTTGGATATAAATCCTGGCATGTTAAACTTGCCAAGAAACTATTTTGAAAATATAATACAATGTATCACATAACAGAGCCGGTTTGTAACCAGGTGTAGCTGGTAGTCGCTGCTCTTGTTGGCTTGTCTGTCAACAATCACGCTGATCACCTGCTGGTTCTTAACGTCCGTATTTTCTACAATCAGACAGTTGTTCAGCACTATTTATATCTGTCACACTGATTACATACACACAAAGCCTCGGCATAGATTGGTTAGAATAAGTGAGCAAACAAAAATGTAACGATTACAAAGAAAAGAAGAGAAAGTAAAAAGATGAAAAGGCAGCAGTTAATTGTTAGATAAAATCATAATAAACTAATTAAATACAAAAAACTGTTTTCCATTGTAAGGAAAAAATATTATGACAAAGGAAAGGTAATTGATGAAATACAAAATGAGGTGTCCATATAAGGGCATATATATGTCCTTATAAGGACATATCTCTACAGATACCCTTATATGGGAAGTCTTTGAACCCTAATAAGGATATTCCTATACACAGATACCCTTATATGGTATGTATATATAAAGGAGCCCTTATAAGGACATATCTCTATACAGATACCCTTATATGGTAAGTCTTTGAACCCTAATAAGGATATTCCTATACACAGATACCTTTGATTGATTAATTGACTGATTGGTTTACGTTCGCTTCACTACCGTGTAGTTCGGTTATCCAGCAGACAAGCAGATACCCTTATGTATATGTCTATAGGAGCCCTTATAAGGACATCACTATACACAGATACCCTTACAAGGTATGTATTTAACCTTATAATGTATGTATATAGGAGCCCTTATAAGGACATACCTCTGTAGACAAAACCCCTCATACATGGATGTGATTAGGGATTGGAAAAAAGGAGGAAATAAAATTGAAAAGGGAGAAACATGCTTCCTTACACCCAAAGAATCTTCAAAACTTTCAGGTATTTCTGAGCAAATCAAGAACCTTCAAAAATTCTTAGGAAAATAAATAAAAACAGAAATCCTCAAAAAAGAAACTTCACATCCCTGCTTATAAAGTGTATGTGTTGGTAGAAGTCTTTATAAGGACTTATTGCTTTACACAGCCTTCTGTTGTAGGTCTCTAAGGAGCCATATAAGGAAATGCCTTTATAGGTGTTCATATATAGTGTATGTTAAGAATGTAAAATAAAAAGAAATGACCACATGTATTTTGTTCTATCACTCTTAAGTACAATTTTTAGAACTAATCATTGCAAAAATGCTACCTTTTGGTGAATATTTCATGAAAAGATAAACTTTTCGAAAAATCACACCTGCAAGTTTTGATTTATAGTCAAACTTTGACAGACACCAGACTCATATTTACATATTTCTGAACTAATGTATAATACTCATCATAAGTCCCAACCACTTGCTTAACAGATATTAACCCTTTCACCACTGTAGACCAAAATGGACTCATCCAGATCAATACATGGTAGAGTCTACTAAAGTTACATAGGGTTGAAAGGGTTCAGGTACTTTCTGGAAACCAGCTCTTCCTGCGCTAAGGATCAGGGATTTTTGGGAATAAACTTAGCATCTTTATGCCCTATTTGTGACAGCTAGACCCTTATTTTCAACCTCTAATGTTTTACAATTACTGGCCCTGTGCTAGGGAGACATGAAGATTTGTCAACCCAAAGCAGGTCATATCACATAATCTGCAAAGGGTGATAGAGACTAAGTTATCTGACAAGACATGAACTATTACCGGCCAAAGGTTATAGATGGGATTACCTGAATGGTATAACATGTACTACATCACCTTACATTACCTATTTGTACCAGGAAATTGTTGTCCTTCGATGATAAAATCAATTTTCGCCCAATGTAAAATTTGCCTGTGACATTTAATTACTATGTTTATTATGCTTTTTAAAATGCTGGCTGAAATGATAAATGCACTCTTACTACAGTACAGAGGGGGAAAAGGCAAAAATTAAACTACAGCAAATTCCCAAGCATACAGTATTACAATAGTGGTATGTACTTCTTCTAAATTTACCATTACCATGATAGCTTCAATCTAATCTATAAAACGTTACATGTATATATATATAGGATCTTACAGGAGTTTCCATTTCATAGGAGATTTATGAAACAAGTCTTAAGAATATTTCAATTTAGCGAGCCTCTGGCGAGCCAAAATGAAAAATTTGTGATGAGTTTCATAAATTTCATATTAAATGAAAACGAGTGTAAGATCCTTTTTGTCACATAATAAAGATTTTTGACATTTAATTGTGTAAAACGGTAATTTTCTTGCAACCTTGAAATGTAAAAAGTCGCCGTTTTGACTCCAGTACGTAAGTCTGTGACGTCCTGTACTTGTCCTAGTATTGTGACATCACAATTGAAACAATTGAAACTTACAACCAATCACAGGGCTGATAGGTCATATTACATGGGTTAATATTCACTGGATAACACAGTACATTATGTGATAAAACGATATAACCTACACAATGATAATTATACAAGTCCCTTCAATTCTGGGCACCACCTCATCATCTGTTTCTACATATTATTAGGATACAGCTTATAATCACAAATCAACACAATGTATTAGGTCCCCACTAAAACGTAACTTACTGTATGCTAGAAAACATTCACTCAGTCAATATTCACCAGGAAAATTTGTATTTTGCTCAGTCTGAATTTTTCGTACTTCACATGCAATTACTAAATGTTGGATCATGTCTACTGAGATTTGCTGTTACAATAAACTCGCTTTCATTACAGATGAGGAATAAAAACAAATGTCCTAGGGCCAAAAAAAATGGATTACTTGATTATCAGGCCCGCGCGTATTTCATTTTAGGGCACCGCATTGCCGATTTTATCGTGAAAGTAATAAAAAAAATGTGAATGCGCCACCCGCCGTCTTTAAAAAAATCCGGAAATTGGTCCGCATGTCGTTTTTACTCGGTAGTCACCCAAGTCCCAAAAACGTTTGAATAAAGATAAGTTGTTCATTCGCGTATCCGGTTGAAACGGTTGAACCGGTAAAGATAACGACCAGTACAGATTTGGAACGAGGCTGACCTCAGGAAAATTGTGAGGGGTCCAGACATACCTGACCGAAACTAAAATGCTGACTATTGCCAATTTGCGTTATTTCTTTATTAAACAATGTCAAGGCACATGTAGTTTTTAAGATACGTTATGTAATTAAGTGGACGGTTGAAAAATTGGCATATTATTCTTGATACATTGTTTCTTATTCTCCGAAACTGTGCATTTTTAGCTCTGCTTATAGAACGGTCCAAGTGCGTTTGCTTATCGTGGAAAATGTATGTGCCACATGTACCGTTTCAACCGGGACACGCGAATGTAGCCTAAGATTGAGATAAAGGCAAGCGTTAAAATGATTATGACTTATTAGTCTTGTGTACAAATGGCGCTCATTTTGGTACAAATAAGGAATGGGGGGTTCGTGATTCTCGTCTTGAACATCGTGGGGGGATTATCGGAGGCGTGCTCTATGACGGGTCTCTACACAACTATAAAAAGACAAGGGAATGCCCACAATGAACGGTTTACAAACTACACAATGAAAAAAAATCTCCCTCATCTCGTTTTTGCATGGTAAATTGAAAAAAAAAAAATCACCCTCGTCTCGTTTTTGCATGGTAAATTGAAAAAAAAAAAATCACCCTCATCTCGTTTTTGCATGGTAAATTGAAAAAAAAAAATCACCCTCGTCTCGTTTTTGCATGGTAAATTGAAAAAAAAAAAATACCCCCCTGCTGCATCTCTTTTGAAAAAATTTGGCCTGAGAACCAAGTAATTGATTTTATTTGGCCTAAACCAATAACCACTTAATAACGTTTCTAAACAATACGCCATATTATTATCTTATACATAACAGCTAACGCTTACTATTCCTTCACGCAAAACCACACATCATGTCCACACACAGAAACATTTCATATGTCCCCCACATTACTACCAAACATAAACCCACACATAACCACTAGTTATGCCCACACACATAACCTTTGTATTATGCACCAATATATAACCACCTTTTAAGCACTCCAGCACTCTTGTACACTTTTTTTAAATGTTTTCTAAGCAGGTAATCAAACTCTTTACAGTTCTTCATGAGCTTGGATATTTTTTCGCACAAATTCCTCCATAGATCCAATATCGCGAGCGCCGCTGTATTCTGCGACCATCTCGCCGTCACGGAACAAGAGTAATGTCGGGTAGGCACGAACCTATGGAGGAGAAGTAAAAACATGTCACTTCATCACTTTGTCAGTATATATCACAAAGATGGAGGTGTAGAAGCAACAAAGATAAGGGGAGACAACTTGTAGGCGACCTAAACACTGACGGGGAGATATAAATAGCACTTTACCTTGTGTAGTGTACAAAGAAGTTTTTCAGTAGTACAATCCACTTTGCCAAGCCTGATGAAACTGCTTCCAATGAATTTGGTAGAGAGCTGATCCCAGACAGGAGCTAACCTTTTACAGTGTCCACACCTGTCAAACAAGTTCATATAGTTACAAAATGTGATATATATCAGATCTACCAGTAACTTATACAGACTGCTGCACTCTAGCTCCAAACTATTTCATTGAATTTTCAATACATTTTAAAATCTTTAAAGCTTTCATGCTGTATTATGGAAATTTTCAAGGAATCTGCTGTTTTTATTTCAAACATCTTCTCAAGGGTGATGAACATCGATAAAATCATCAAGTGTAATGTATAGTTGACATCTGACAATGAGACATGATACAATTGCTTGTTAGGTTATGAAATTCAATAGATTTCAGTAAAGCAGCAACTTAGTACAAGTAACGACAGGAAACTCGACGGAGAGACTGTAAGCCTCCTTCTACTCACCAAGGGGCATAAAACTTAACGAAAGTGACTCCATCAGCGACCACCTCTGGGAATGTGTCCTGGTCAAGAGGGAAAACTGTTGGCTGCAACAAAATAGAACCATGTATAAATACAGCAGGGCATTGTATACATACACCAAAACATGTATACAAACTACAGGAGAAAGTAGGTATATTTCACATCACTTGAATTTTACATAGTCAAATTTTCATATTTTTTTCCTGAAATGAGTTTGCAATGTTTCATTTGTACGCACCATCATTAATAGCCAATAATCCAAACTAGTCTATTTTTAACGACTAATTAATATTCACTATACATGTATATTAAAGTAATTCTTCCATTTCCAGCTATCATGAAGATATTCCAACTTTTGCCTTGACTTTGCTGTCCAGGGAGTTAGGTTTCTATCAGCTGTGTGTTAGTGTGAAAACTAAGTAACCCATCAAACTAACTTCCTTGGCAGAAACGTGTACTGATCTGACTTCACCTAGCTAGTTGGTATTGATCTTGGTTCCAAACATGCAGCACAAACAATATTGAATGAATAGATACAACTCTCAATAGGTTTTCAAAATATGGGGTTGAAATAGTCACCATTGTTTTCTACCATATCTAGATCTAGTCCTATCCACTGTTTTTTTTAAAGAGCTTGCATGACCCTACTCGCTGACTCTTCCGGCATTCCATTCTGTTTTCCTCTAAAGCGGTTTATGATGGGAGTACACTCCTTTTTTTTTGTGTTATAGCTCCATAACATGAAAAATATATTCAAGGTTATCCTTATAATTTAATCTACTTTACACAATCCCTGTGGAAATCCACTTTTATTGATGGACTCTTTTCTCTTAGAAATTATTGCGCTGCTGTATCAGCTAATCAAAAGCGACGTTACAAACGGCGATGTCATGTTTTTACGTTATGGGCTGATAACATAAAAAAAAATTAAGGCAATGAAAATGCTTGTTACAAGCAAGATAAAATTATATAAGATTGAAGTGAATTCACGCCAGTCTTTATAACAGCTTTTGTATTTAAGCTACGTTTAGCGTCCAAAATCTGCTGTAACTCCTCTTTACAACAACAAAACGGCCTTCATCGGCGTCAATTTTCACTGTTGTCATTTGGTTCTGAAAATGTGACGTCATGAGCGTCACGGAAAAGGCCCCGCCCACCAATGTTTTCATTGGTTGAAATCTTATAAGCTCCGCCTACCAATGTTTTCATTGTTTGAAATCTTATAAGCTCCACCTACAAATAATCACGAGGGAGTTGTCCTCTTTCTAGCAGGGAGTAGTCCTTTTTTGCAGGGATTAATCCTAATTTGGGGAGGGAGGATATTGGGGAAATCTCAGTAGAGGTTTAATAATCCTAACTAACTCTCCAACAAAAATAAATAGTCAATAGTCCTAACTTATAGGAAGTAATTGTGAATGTACAATATCAGTCCCAGGGAACATTCGCGTATACGGTTGAAACGGTTGAACCTGTGAAGAAAACAACAAACGAAAATTTGGCATGTGCAGATTGAGGGGTCCAGACGTGCCTGACCGAAACTAAAATGCTGACTACTATCAGTTTGCGTTATTTATTTCTAAAACTATGTCAAGTCACATGTAGTTTTTAAGATACGTTATGTTATTAAGTGGAAGGATGAAAAAATGGCATTTTATTCAGTTGACGCGTAAAAGGGCATAATATTCTTGATACATTGTTTTATATTCTCCGAAACTGTGCATTTTTAGCTCTGCTTATAGAATGGTCCAAGTGCGTTCGTTTATCGTGGAATATTTCTGCGCCACACGTACTGTTTCAACAGGGATACGCGAATGAAGCCCCAAGACATTAAGGATAGATTTCAGGGTACTGTTCCTGTACCAATTGATAATTTGGGAATCTCTAGACAGAAACGACCACAATTTGGGACTCTCTAGATAGAACCTTGTACTGATGTATATTTTGGGACTCTCTAGATAGAACCTTGTATTGATGTATAATTTGGGACTCCTAGACAGAACCTTGTACTGATGTATAATTTGGGACCCTCTAGACAGAACCTTGTACTGATGTATAATTTGGGACTCTCCAGACAGAACCTTGTACTGATGTATAATTTGGGACTCTCTAGACAGAACCTTGTACTGATGTATAATTTGGGACTCTCTAGACAGAACCTTGTACTGATGTATAATTTGGGACTCTCTAGACAGAACCTTGTATTGATGTATAATCTGAGACTCTGTAGACAGAACCTACCAATTGTATTGATGTATAATTTGGTACTCTCTAGACAGAACCTTGTACTGATGTATAACTTGGAACTCTCTAGACAGAACCTTCCACAATTTGGGACTCTCTAGATAGGACCTTGTACTGATGTATAACTTGGGATCTCTCTAGACAGAACCTTCCACAATTTGGGACTCTCTAGACAGAACCTTGTACCGATGTATCACTTGGGACTCTCTAGACAGAACCTACCACAATTTGGTACTCTCTAGACAGAACCTTGTACTGATGTATAACTTGGAACTCTCTAGACAGAACCTTCCACAATTTGGGACTCTCTAGATAGGACCTTGTACTGATGTATAACTTGGGATCTCTCTAGACAGAACCTTCCACAATTTGGGACTCTCTAGACAGAACCTTGTACCGATGTATCACTTGGGACTCTCTAGACAGAACCTACCACAATTTGGTACTCTCTAGACAGAACCTTGTACTGATGTATAACTTGGAACTCTCTAGACAGAACCTTCCACAATTTGGGACTCTCTAGATAGGACCTTGTACTGATGTATAACTTGGGATCTCTCTAGACAGAACCTTCCACAATTTGGGACTCTCTAGACAGAACCTTGTACCGATGTATCACTTGGGACTCTCTAGACAGAACCTACCACAATTTGGGACTCTCTAGACAGAACCTTGTACTGATGTATAACTTGGAACTCTCTAGACAGAACCTTCCACAATTTGGCACTCTCTAGACAGAACCTTGTACCGATGTATCACTTGGGACTCTCTAGACATAACCTACCACAATTTGGGACTCTCTAGACAGAACCTTGTACCGATGTATCACTTGGGACTCTCTAGACATAACCTACCACAATTTGGGACTCTCTAGACAGAACCTTGTATTGATGTATAATCTGAGACTCTGTAGACAGAACCTACCAATTGTATTGATGTATAGTTTGGGACTCTCTAGACAGAACCTTGTATTGATGTATAATCTGAGACTCTGTAGACAGAACCTCCCAATTGTATTGATGTATAGTTTGGGACTCTCTAGACAGAACCTTGTATTGATGTATAATCTGAGACTCTGTAGACAGAACCTACCAATTGTATTGATGTATAGTTTGGGACTCTCTAGACAGAACCTTGTACCGATGTATAACTTGGGACTCTCTAGACAGAACCTTGTACTGATGTATAATTTGGGACTCTCTAGACAGAACCTTGTACTGATGTATAATTTAGGACCTCTCTAGACAGAACCTTGTACTGATGTATAACTTGGGACTCTCTAGACAGAACCTTCCACAATTTGGGACTCTCTAGACAGGACCTACCACAATTTCCTCCTCCTGGTCTTTAGGAATATCCTCTGGTACCTTGCCTTCCGTTTCATCGCCATTTTTATTTTCTTTCTCAATCATGCTGATTACAAAGTTCTTTAGGCTGTATAGGTCCCTGTTGGAGTACTCCTGTTCTTTCTGTTGCGAAGACAAATACCTGGTACTAAATAGATGTAAAGTCAGTGGGATAATTTTGAGCTTTTAGGGACTAAATAATAATGTCTTACGACTGATTTTATGTTTTCTGTTTACCATGAAATGTTCCAATTAAGATTTTGCCCTCTGTGATGAGGTCAAATGTGCGATAATGACAAACATCAATACACATTTACTAAATATACAATGTGAAGGGTTAAACTTTCCTGACAAAGAGTGTTACAATATTTAGTGCTAACTAGATTGAACTCAATGCATGGGCTCCACTGATACCTCTCATGGCACATTTGCAAAGTTTGAAGCCTATTCATGAACCAATGACTAAATAATGCTGTGAAAACCTATTTGTAATTTAGGACTTGTGAGTGTCAAAGATCAAATTGAGGTCACAGTGCCCAAATTTTAGAATGTGACATACTATCTTCCCACGATGTGCCTGTCCACGTTTGATGACAATTCATGAACCAGTGGCTGAGATATGCTCTAGAAATCCTTATTTCAGAACTTAAGTCAAGGTCAGGTTACACTGACCTCATTTTAAAATGTGACAAATGATCTTCCCATGATGTACCTATATACAAAGTTTGATGCTTATTTGTAAAACAGTGATTGTGATATACTCTGGAAATCCAGCCAGCTCGAACAAAAACTGAAGTCTCCTCTTTTTGGCCAATATGCATATTTTCTTGACACTTATTTGACCTTTGACCTAGAGGTGAATGTCCTGGTTACTAAAAATATAGTGTACTGTACACCTTCATTGTGTGAAAAAGGTACTATTCAAGTTTCATTGAAAATATCTTCAATGGTTAAAAAATTAAAGCCCAAACACGTTTTCACTAAACTTGTTGCACTGATTTGACTTTTGACCTAGAGATAAAGGATATCTTTTTGGACAACAAGATTTCGCTGGAAACTTTACAGTAACTTGATCTTTTACTTTGAGGTCAACATGACAGTTACCTTATTACAGTGCACTACACACCTCCTGGGGGTGATACAGTTATACTTCAATTTCATCACAACAGCTTTCATGTTTTTAAAGTTATGGCCTAGAACAAGAGGAACCAGAAGCACTATTCCTAATGGGGATCTCAACCATTTCCATGTTAAATTGTCACCCAGGAACTGAGTTCCAAGGGGCAGGGCCAGACCCAAGGTCCAATCCTGCCAGCATGATTATGTGTCCTAGAGACCCCTGTGACCTTGAAAGTCTAAAAGATCGGAAATAAAGTTTTCCTGTTGTAGAAAGAGAATACAATCATGTATCAACAAACTTTCACTAACTTCAATATTCAAAGTGATACGTTGCTACTTTACCTCGCCATTCTTGAAGAATACTAAGGTGGGATATCCTCGGATGTTCTGTTTACTACATGCTGTCTTGTACAATGTGCAGTCAATCTGAAAAGTCAAAGGTTACAGGTTAAGACTATTTTCACGGTACAAATGTCAAAATGTTATGTTACAAGGTACAAAATGCACTATGGGTACTGCCTACCAGGCATAATGTCTATATAGATACCATGAGTACTGGGTACAAAGTCTATAGAGTTACCATATAGGTACTGGGCACAAATTCTATACAGACACCATGGGTACTGGGTACAAAGTTTATAGTTACCATATAGGTACTGCACACAAATTCTTTATAGATACCATGGGTACTGGGCATAATGTCTATATAGATACCATGGGTACTGGGCACAAAGTCTATAGAGTTACCATGGGTACTGGGCACAAAGTCTATATAGTAACCATGGGTACTGGTTACAAAGTATATTGAGTTACCATGGGTACTTGGCATAATGTCTATATAGATACCATGGGTACTGGGTACAAAGTCTATAGAGTTACCATAGGTACTGGGCACAAAGTCTATATAGATACCATGGGTGCTGGTTACAAATTCTATAGAGTTGCCATAGGTACTGGGCACAAAGTCTATAGAGTTACCATAGGTACTGGGCACAAATTATATATAGATACCATGGGTACTGGGCACAAAGTCTTTAGAGATACCATAGGTACTGGGTACAAAGTCTATAGAGATACCATGGGTACTGGGTACAAAGTCTATAGAGTTACCATGGGTACTGGGTACAAAGTCTATAGAGTTACCATAGGTAATGGGTACAAAGTCTATAGAGTTACCATGGGTACTGGGTACAAAGTCTATAGAGTTACCATGGGTACTGGACACAAAGTCTATAGAGTTACCATAGGTACTGGGTACAAAGTCTATAGAGTTACCATGGGTACTGGGTACAAAGTCTATAGAGTTACCATGGGTACTGGGAACAAAGTCTATTGAGTTACCATATAGGTACTGGGTACAAAGTCTATAGAGGATGTTCTGACTATCTCCATCTCATCAACAAATTTTTGAACTTGAACAATATCTAAATTGTTTTAAATCCCTCAAATTGAGAAATATCCCTAGAAATTGGATGGAAGCTATCTTTTAGTTATAACATATTATAGATGATATAAACCTTTGCTATTGTAACAGAAGTCTCATGCTCAAATTCCTGAGCGAGCGATTCCCAGGTTGGTGCAAGGGATTTGCAATGGCCACACCAAGGAGCATAGAATTTAACAAAGGTGTTACTGGTCGCAATTTCCTGTTCGAAGGTTTCGTCGGTAAGTTCCACTAAAGGACCAAGAGCCTTTTCAGGTTCCATCGGCATCTGCTCAACCTTCGCCTCAGCGCCTTCTTCCTCCTGATGACAACAAAAATAGAGTTATGGTTGCTTATTGTATGTAGATATAGACAACTATTTAAAATCCCGACACAAACCTAACAAAAACAGGGCTTGGATTCATGCAACTGTTCTCGTGCTTAAGAATGGATTCTGTGCCCAAACCAATTTTCTTGTAACTCACTCCAATCTCAATATGATAACTCATCAAGTGTTAACATTGTAAATGGTATTCAGCTTGAAGTATTTTCAAAATTCTTCCAAACATGGACAAAATGTGATGTATTAAGTAATCACTGGATCGGAAAATTGGGCTTGAGCACTGTATCCGAGTTTGATCAAACCATATTAGGACCATGGGTCTTTACAGCTCCGAAGAAAAATTCAAAGCACAAAGTTTGACAGAAAAATGGAGGATAGACTATGGATGCAGCTTATACCCCATTTAAGCTTACAGCCATTTTTTGCCAGGTTAGCTAAAATATCAATTAAAAAAGAGAAACACATAATTTAACAAAATAACATTATGAGTACCCATGCCTCATTCGTCCCTGAAATTTCATGATGAACTATTCCAACCTTTGAGTTGGAAGAGTTCAAATGTGTCTTCAGGGATGAATAAGTTAAAGTTACAGTACATATGTATTAATAATGATGATAATGTATGTAGCTATATATATATATATATATTATAAAAAGAAAAATTCTCAACAACAAGTCTTTAGTACTTTCATCTCTTCTAGGAGATTCTTCAGACTGTTTATTTGAAGTATATGTTGTAACGTCATAAACTATGACGTCACATAATAGTTCGCTATAGCCACGTCCGCTATACGTACCCGCCATAGCGATATCACAGCAATAGAATTACATTCATTATAGTCTTAAGGCAAAGAGTACGATTTGTTTAGGATTTAGAATAACTAGTAATACTATTATTTACAAAAAAACATACTAATAAAAAAAAATAAAAAAAATCTCCATGTTTTTGTGCTTTTATAATATAGCAAACATATGCATCAATGTTCTAAAGATGATTTTTATGTGTTACCTATTTACAAACTGAATAGCGACGATGTAGTTGCAAGAGAAATTAAAGAAAACATGTTTATAAAGGTCCTCAAACCCAGCTTGAATGCACAATGATTTTTGCAATGTAGATGTTTTCTTTGATTTGGTATTGTTTGTGACGTCACTATGCTTGTTTATTTATGACGTCACTAAAATTGTTGACTATACAAATATTGATGACGTCATGTAACCAACGGTGATAAATAAACATCAATCCGCCTGAAGCCCTAGAAGGCAGAAAGGCCTAGCGGACGATCTGAAAAATTTATGTTTTAATTCTATACATATATATATAGTTACATACGGTATGATACACTTCCATTATAGTCACATACCAAGATAAACTGCTCTTCTATAAAATCCTGGAAATCTTTCAGACCTCGGTTGCCACGGTATCGCACAGATTCAGAGTCTCCTTTTCTATAATAGTTTAGAGTTGGGTATCCAGTAACGTCATGTTCTGCACACAGAGCTGTCTCCAGGGTACAATCCACCTAGATGCACACAAAACCACAATTATCTCACTTTAAAGAGGTTTTTTTTTTTTAAATTAAATTTTGTTATTTCTTATTCTTCAGTTGATTTGTATACCAAGTTGAAAGGATTATTTTTAGTTATACAGGTCATAGTTTTACATAATTCTAAACTCTTATGCTAACTCACCTTAGCAATGACAAGTTTGGACATCCCAAACTCTTTGTTGAAAAAATGAGCCAGTTCATCCCAGACAGGAGCAAGCCTTTTACAATGGCCACACCTAAAATGAACAAATAACCACTGTCAGGTAAATATAGGTAGATATCCATCAATTATCATTAATAAGTTAACCCTTTCATCCTAAGTAACTTTAGTAGACTCTCCCATGCATTGATCTGGATGAGTTCATTATGGTCTACAGTGGTGAAAGGATTAAATACCAGTACTAAGAACATTTTTTTTGCCTCTTTAGACATATCCTCCATATATTAGCAGTCACACTCTTTGATATCCCATATCACATGTTCTGATATCCCATTAGCAAACACACTCTTTCTCAATCCCTTAGAAGTCACTACTGTATATCAGGAAACTTTCACTGAAGTTTAATTTTCACATTTTATGCCCTCAGAAATTAGGGTGAACTTATCATACAGTGAACATTAGTCAACAACATAATTTATATAGTAATTAAATGTGCGAAGCTAAATTAACACTGGGCAAATTTGGGTTTTACAGGTGAAGGACAAAAGTTTGACTTGGCGAAATTTTCCAGTATACAGAATTACCCTGCAGAGGAGTCACACTCCATATATCCCAGCTATAACAATGCATGCCATCCGCTGGCTAGCCAGACAGCCAGATTTTCTATTATATCCCCACCTCCACCTCACAGTAGTGAGTCCACGTTAGTTACTATGCTCCACCTCACAGTAGTGAGTCCACGTTAGTTACTATGCTCCACCTCACAGTAGTGAGCCCACGTTAGTTACTATGCTCCACCTCACAGTAGTGAGCCCACGTTAGTTACTATGCTCCACCTCACAGTAGTGAGCCCACGTTAGTTACTATGCTCCACCTCACAGTAGTGAGCCCACGTTAGTTACTATGCTCCACCTCACAGTAGTGAGCCCACGTTAGTTACTATGCTCCACCTCACAGTAGTGAGCCCACGTTAGTTACTATGCTCCACCTCACAGTAGTGAGCCCACGTTAGTTACTATGCTCCACCTCACAGTAGTGAGCCCACGTTAGTTACTATGCTCCACCTCACAGTAGTGAGCCCACGTTAGTTACTATGCTCCACCTCACAGTAGTGAGCCCACGTTAGTTACTATGCTCCACCTCACAGTAGTGAGCCCACGTTAGTTACTATGCTCCACCTCACAGTAGTGAGCCCACGTTAGTTACTATGCTCCACCTCACAGTAGTGAGCCCACGTTAGTTACTATGCTCCACCTCACAGTAGTGAGCCCACGTTAGTTACTATGCTCCACCTCACAGTAGTGAGCCCACGTTAGTTACTATGCTCCACCTCACAGTAGTGAGCCCACGTTAGTTACTATGCTCCACCTCACAGTAGTGAGCCCACGTTAGTTACTATGCTCCACCTCACAGTAGTGAGCCCACGTTAGTTACTATGCTCCACCTCACAGTAGTGAGCCCACGTTAGTTACTATGCTCCACCTCACAGTAGTGAGCCCACGTTAGTTACTATGCTCCACCTCACAGTAGTGAGCCCACGTTAGTTACTATGCTCCACCTCACAGTAGTGAGCCCACGTTAGTTACTATGCTCCACCTCACAGTAGTGAGCCCACGTTAGTTACTATGCTCCACCTCACAGTAGTGAGCCCACGTTAGTTACTATGCTCCACCTCACAGTAGTGAGCCCACGTTAGTTACTATGCTCCACCTCACAGTAGTGAGCCCACGTTAGTTACTATGCTCCACCTCACAGTAGTGAGCCCACGTTAGTTACTATGCTCCACCTCACAGTAGTGAGCCCACGTTAGTTACTATGCTCCACCTCACAGTAGTGAGCCCACGTTAGTTACTATGCTCCACCTCACAGTAGTGAGCCCACGTTAGTTACTATGCTCCACCTCACAGTAGTGAGCCCACGTTAGTTACTATGCTCCACCTCACAGTAGTGAGCCCACGTTAGTTACTATGCTCCACCTCACAGTAGTGAGCCCACGTTAGTTACTATGCTCCACCTCACAGTAGTGAGCCCACGTTAGTTACTATGCTCCACCTCACAGTAGTGAGCCCACGTTAGTTACTATGCTCCACCTCACAGTAGTGAGCCCACGTTAGTTACTATGCTCCACCTCACAGTAGTGAGCCCACGTTAGTTACTATGCTCCACCTCACAGTAGTGAGCCCACGTTAGTTACTATGCTCCACCTCACAGTAGTGAGCCCACGTTAGTTACTATGCTCCACCTCACAGTAGTGAGCCCACGTTAGTTACTATGCTCCACCTCACAGTAGTGAGCCCACGTTAGTTACTATGCTCCACCTCACAGTAGTGAGCCCACGTTAGTTACTATGCTCCACCTCACAGTAGTGAGCCCACGTTAGTTACTATGCTCCACCTCACAGTAGTGAGCCCACGTTAGTTACTATGCTCCACCTCACAGTAGTGAGCCCACGTTAGTTACTATGCTCCACCTCACAGTAGTGAGCCCACGTTAGTTACTATGCTCCACCTCACAGTAGTGAGCCCACGTTAGTTACTATGCTCCACCTCACAGTAGTGAGCCCACGTTAGTTACTATGCTCCACCTCACAGTGTAGTGAGCCCACGTTAGTTACTATGCTCCACCTCACAGTGTAGTGAGCCCACGTTAGTTACTATGCTCCACCTCACAGTGTAGTGAGCCCACGTTAGTTACTATGCTCCACCTCACAGTGTAGTGAGCCCACGTTAGTTACTATGCTCCACCTCACAGTGTAGTGAGCCCACGTTAGTTACTATGCTCCACCTCACAGTGTAGTGAGCCCACGTTAGTTACTATGCTCCACCTCACAGTGTAGTGAGCCCACGTTAGTTACTATGCTCCACCTCACAGTGTAGTGAGCCCACGTTAGTTACTATGCTCCACCTCACAGTGTAGTGAGCCCACGTTAGTTACTATGCTCCACCTCACAGTGTAGTGAGCCCACGTTAGTTACTAGGCAGTGAGACACAGAAGCCTTACTTGTATCCCAGAACCTGCAGAGGGGGAATAAATACATGGTACTGGTATTGATATGGGATAAAAATAGTTAATTGTTGTATAAATACATGGTACTTGTATTGATATGGGATAAAAATAGTTAATTGTTGTATAAATACATGTAAATGTTAAAGAAAATTTTAGTTGCAAAGGTATAATTTACAAACCTCATAATCAAAAATCTCCATTTTTTATTCATTATTGTCTCAAAATGACTCCTTATGAACAACAATAAAGTCTATATGATTGTCCTGAAAGTTAGTATAGGAGCTTGTATGATTATGAAATGTAACATTATTTGACAGGAGAAAGAGAAGGCAACCGCCAGATTAAGGGGTTTGAACCTGGGACCCTCCGAACTCTAGACGGATGCTCTACAAATTGCTTGGGTATCCCCTTGCTTAGCATTCAACCAGTGCTTGAAACAAGGGTTGGAAAGCTCACCGACTTTGTAAAAGGAGAAAGAGGATTACAACGGCTAGACCGGGGTTCTAACCCTCTAAACTTTAGACCATCGACCCTGTCAAGTTCCGCTACAATAACAAATAATTACAATATTGAAACATCTTATTTACAACAACACTCTCACTTCATATAGGATACACAATGTAGGTAGTCTACACTCTCAAGGTATATAGGATACACAATGTAAATAGTCTACATCTACACTCTCACTTATATAGGATACACTATGTAGATAGTCTACCCCCTCACTTCAGTTTTGAGTTACATGAGATTTCTCTATCTCCTGGTATCCTATATGAAGTTAGAGTGTAGACTATCCACATTGTGTATCCTATCTGAAGTGAGAGTGTATACTATCTACATTGTGTATGCTATATGTAGTGAGAGTGTAGACTATATACATTGTGTATGCTATATGAAGTGAGAGTGAACATGTAGACTATCTACATAGTGTATCCTATATGAAGTGAGAGTCTACATGTAGACTCTCACTTCATATAGGATACACAATGTAGATAGTCTACACTCTCACTTCAGTTTTGTGTTACATGAGATTTCTCTATCTCCTGCTCACAGACTGATATACATGTATATGGGAATCAAATTTTTAGCATCTCTAGATCTGATGACGTGTTATATAAGGTGTGCCAATTTGCTGCATATCAGTACCTGTTATATCCCTAAACTTGTTATGAGTAAACTATATATGGACATTGATCCTAGATTTACATATAGTCTCACCGAGTCCTGCATATATAATCATGCCCTGACAGCATGTTGTGGTTTTTAATGTGGTTGCTAATCCCTAAGGCATCAATGTTAAATCACAGTAATTTATCTACTGGGGGACATGACCTAGGTGTCTTCTTACTGGGAAAAATTAGGATTTTGTTCTATGAAATTGAGAAAACTTGTTGCCTAATAATAAGTGACCTGACCATTGTTCAAACTTAACATGATAAGTCCCATAGTCAATCACTATGAAAAACAATGTAGGTCTATGGGAACTATTTAGGTAGTGTATTAAGCTGGCATGGGACATTTTCTCTGCAGTTTAATGTCTGTCTCTTTTTGCCCTCTATGATGAATTTGTTAGTACAGCGATTATAAGTAAGCAACATTATATAAACAATAATGAAATTTGAATGGCAAATTTCACACTGGGTGAAAATTGATTTCATGTGCAAAGGGGAAAGTTTGACTGGGGGATACATTCCCAGCATACGATATAAGAAATCATTATGTACAATTTGACATTTCCAGTTTTGTCTATAATATATAAAGTCTTAGCCTGCTTAATACATTTACATAGACTTTCTATTTCTTTTCTAATTTTCTGAGACTGATTCTGCATGTATTAAAAAAAGTAACATGTCCTTTTATAAGTCTTTTTACAAATTAGTTAGACAGCTCAATAATAAATATTTAAAGGCTGAGACATCAAATATCTGCTTTGCACACTTCAAGGTATTAGAGGAAGCAAAGTGATTGCAAACTGACCATCAAGGTAAAATCAAAGACTGTTGGTGTATAACAAGGTGATGCACATTGCTGATTAATTTCCCTCTAAATTATTTACTCATTATTGAATTGTTAAATTCCACTTTAAGGTTTCTTGTCTTACTGCAAACAAAACACTTTAGAAAGCACCTGTTTCACACAGTAACCTCCTCATAATTTCAGCAAAAGATGGGCCTGGGTACAACCTATTCTTAAATAAATTATTATACTTTTTAGTTTTTTAGTCACCTCAAGCAGGGATTTTTTTTTAAATAGTTTATTTTTAATTTGTGCAACCATTAACCAGAATCTGAGATAGCTAACACAACCGCTGTATAGTGATCAGAGGAACAAGTGTTTTATTATTATTTTCTACTTACTATATAACGTTATATTTTTAAAAAGTAAAGTTTTTAATTATTTTTATTTTCAGAAAAAAAGTTTGTTTATATTTTTTCCAGCATTATTTAGAGATGCCGGTGAATAGATCAATGCATAGTTACAGCTACAATCATGATGGTACGGAGATGCTTAGCCTTATCGACTCAGAGCACTCCATGATACTGAATTCGGAAAAGTCCTCCACAAAATACTAGTTTACCTTGTGCACTTACAAAGTTACAAGACTTACTTACCATGGTGCATAAAACATAACAAAATGTGGAATTTTGGCAACTTCAGTTGAAAAAGTCTTTAAGGTGTAGGTGACAGCGTTCGAAGCGTGATCGTCACAAACTACTGCCCCCAAAGTTACTAAGAGCATAAACATCAGCATTGTCCTCATCCTGATCGGCTGCTGCTCAGCTGTTACCAATGCTGACGATTCCTTTCCAGTAACCGGATCCGGAAATAAAATCGTGTGTAACTCACTCGCCAAGCAAACACCATAGTTTCGTAAATATAGACTCTACGTTGAATCATATAAATTTAAAGCAATAGTCAATTGAATAAACAAAGTGGAATTTTGCACCATATTTTTGCGATTATTGTTATATTTGATATAAATTCACTATATTTATACGAAACCATATACAACTTCCCTTGCCTCGGTCACTTCCTCTTCCGCCATCATCGTCCGTTATAGTGCATCGTTCTCAACAGAGCTAAGGCCAATCCGGCGACGTGTACTGTGAATTTCGGACATCGAAAGAAAATAAACTAACCAAAAACAAAAAATGGCTTCCAACGACGAACTGGCCTGTGTATATGCCGCCCTCATCCTCGCTGATGATCAAGTAGCCATTACAGTAAGCACATTTAACAAACGTGGTTGATGGTCACTACATACACGTGATTAAATTATGACAACTGTCGTTATGTGTATTGTTTTGTAAGATCTATTCTTGCAACTGCGTAACAATACGCCTAGAATATTTCAAAATGAGAAAATTATGTTTTAATCACATATATGTTTTCATTTTGATTTTCTACTTTTAGGATTTCCTATATTTGATATTGGTCTGATTTAGTAGTTTTAATAATACATTCTTGGGATATCAATATGGGTATTGCTTTAACCACGGTCTTGGATAGCAATTAAATTCCGTGTTATACCTTAAATAATTAAAGCATGGGTTTTGGATTCGGGATATATTTTATGGGTTTAATAAACATTCTATAGCCCGGATTAGCCCCGTAAATAGAATGGTCATGAAAAATTGGGGTACAGCCGTCTGTTTTAAAGATACTCATTCTTTGGTTTTGAAGAACACTGCCATTCATGTTACTGAACAATGGATCGTAATATAATTTCAATTTAAAATGTTCATGTAGGCAATGAGGTATTTCCTTGACACATTTGTTCATGAATTTATATTTTGAGAGAAAAATCGTGTACAACAATATTTATTTTAAAATCTTGTTTTACTATAGGATGACAAGCTGGCAACCATTCTCAAGACAGCCAAGGTGACTGTTGAACCATACTGGCCAGGTAAGTTGATGTATAATATGGTTTAGGACCAAAGCTTTCATAAACGAGAACAAACGATGTGGGAAAAACTGGATTATGACGTCGGGAACAGTCTAGCAGCAACAACCTGTTGTCAGTATGGAATATAGCTCTAATTCAATCTGAAACACTGATCTCTTAATAACAAATTTGGGTTTGATACATATAACCCAGGTCCAGTACACTCTGCTGATTGAGCTATATTCACCTATATATTGTAACTGTATCGAGCTATATTTTCTCAGATTTCAATTTTCATTAAATTAAAGCAAAGCAAATTCGCAGTAAACATGAAGGGTTATGGTAATGTTGACAACAAAAAACATACAGCTGGATATTTATTTTCAATTTTGATAAATGTAAAATTTCAGATTTTTTTCGATCATTATTTTTTAAAAAGAATATTTATATTTAAGGTCTTTTGTTATGAACCTAATGATAAATCTTCTTTTAACATTGACTTTGGTTCATTTTCCTTAAAAAAGAAAATGACATGAAAATAGCTATAAAGACCTGTTTTGGATAGGGAAATACAACCAATACAATCACTAAAAACATATTTTTTCAAATTTACTCTGTTTTACTCTAGTTTTGGTATAGAAAACGTTGGAAAATACTTTTCGTAATGATCTTTGAGACATGTTATTGATACCACCTAGTGCATAAAGAATAGATCTTTCGATCCATGTATGACATGTGTGTGAAAGTGACAATTTATTTCTAAAATATCAGTTGTAAGTGCGCTCCAGGCGTGGGTCGCATATTTCCTGCATATTATAGAGGGCCGGAGTTCTGACGTTAATCGACGACAGACCTTGATATGAAAAAAGTCGATAAAACTTCAGAATAATTCAGACTAATGTGGCGATATACCCAAGCTGTTGAAGAAAGGATTTATAACATGACCCAGAGTTTATCCCATAAGTCAAAACAAAATATCCCAACACAAATTGTCTGTTTCAATATGGAATTTATGGGCGAGGCGAGTTTCATGGAACTACATGCTTGTGTAGACCATTTGTGACACATGAATTAATGATGACTGTTTACTTTAGGCCTGTTTGCCAAGGCCCTGGATGGAGTGAATGTTCGCGAACTCATCTCAAACATCGCCAGCTCTGCTGGATCTGCAGCCCCTGCTGGTGGAGCAGGTGCTGCCCCTGCCGCTGAGGAAAAGAAAGGTTAGTCTGGAGAAAAGTGTATAGAAAGGGAAGTTATTGCTGGTGTTGGATTTATGGGGTTTCGTAAAAATTAATTGACAAAGTAAATCTGGCTAATGGTTGTTTAAAAAAATCGTCGAATAAGTCTGGGGGATAGCAAAGAATTGGTCAAGGTTCTCATAACTATAGGAATACTGCCAGGCATGAAGAGCTGAACAGAATTGGCTCCCGAGTCAAATCCCACCCTGTGGACTTATTCCCTAAATATTGACATAGAAATGGTTAAAAAGGAAATGACATGCCATGATTATGAAATATTTGGTTGTTCTGACCTTGTGTTCAGTTCATGCTGACACAAGCTACAAAAATATGTAGGTAGAAAAAAAACACATGATTATGGTTTTGACAACAGAGAAATACAGTAATGATATTTTATTATTATTTTTACAGAGGAAAAGAAAGAAGAGAAGAAAGAGGAGTCGGACGAGTCTGATGACGATATGGGCTTTGGTAAGTTAACTATTTCTGATCAGTTCAGTTGGGGGAAGGGTTATTACAGCTATCTTGAAGGGTCAAGGATATGTGCAAAATTCAAGGTATTCTCAATTGAATGATAACATTTTATCAATTTATGCTAAAATATTGGAAGTATTCTCAAAGAAAGAAGAGTAAACAATTACACAAGTGGAACTCGAATGGAAGAATCATTTTCTAAATTCTATGACTGCTAACTTGACACTTTTATATTATCTAAAATATTTTTGATTTGTTTGTTATTTAGATCTGTTCTGAATTTAGTGAAAATTATTATTTTACTTTGTTTTAGCAATGAAGGTTTGGTGAACTTCTTGGCCATATATGATATAAAAAAAAATGTCTATATTTTCCCATTTTCATTACAAAATTATTTTAAAAAAACTAACGCATTTCCAAATTTTATCAAATGGAGAAAATAAAAACTACAGTTGCTTCTAAAAACAATATAACACCTCACTTAAGTATTGTGATATTCAGTCGTATTTCATATTAATAAATACAAAAGTACCTGTAAAATCTTTCATTAACCAGCACTTGATCTACTTGTTTAAACGACAATTTCTTTTTCACATTTTAAAGGAAGGTTGTTGATTACTTTTCAAATAAATAAATATCAAACTTGAAAATATAAATAATTAAGATTCAATGCTACAGTATAATATGAATAATTAAGTTTCAATGCTACAGTATAATATATTTTGTCGATATCTTTTTCAGGTCTGTTCGACTAAGAAGACGGACATTTGGTTTTATTCTGTACATACACTGTAACATTAAAAACAAAAGGTCCTTCAATTGACTTGGTGTTTTATTTTTAATTCTAATCGCTTTCCGTCCGTCGTCGTGCGTAAACTTTTGACATTTTCAACTTCTTCTCAAGAACCAGTGGATGGATTTTTTTCAAACTTGGGTCAGAATCATCCTTTGTAGATGAGGCTACAAAATTGTAAAATTGAGATTCCTACCCCAGAGCGGGGGCCCCAAAGGGAAATTTAACCAATATTTCAAAAATCTTCTAATCCAGACATGGAGGTACTCCATTCAATTTCAGTGCAAAAAAAGAAAGATCATCGGGGGCTTTATTTAACCCTTATCCTGCCAAGTGCAGCATATGTCATTTTTATAAACCCGTTTCCCACTGCCAAGCACGGCATATGTCATTCTACAAAACATGCCTTCCACTGCGAAGCGCGGCATATGTCGATTCCGGGATTGCTGTTAAGTACGGAACTGTGGTGAGGAAATCACTGCTAGCTTTACTTAGAAATGATGACGCATTAGATTATACCTTAATTTCATTGGCTGACTACGTGATGCCCACAGTTTATTTATAAACGAAGCCACCATGACCTCAAGAGCATAGATTCAAGGTTTTGTTGACGGCGCGAAAAAGTGGCGGACGACGAATGACTGCAGATTATTGGCGATAACCGATGTTTGACGGTGACAACAGCGACAATGACTTTTAGGGTTTCGGACCAGAAGATTTACTACGTGATGCAGAAATCGTACAATAACTTGACTTTGATCAATCATATAAAGACATGGACATTCCTGAAGACGACGTCAACACGGCGTACCTCCATTAATGCCGCATCATGGGACGGCCGGTTTGAAGGTAACATTTACCAATATTTTCAAATTCTTATAAGATTTCAACCAATAAAAAAAATTGGTAAGCGGAGCTTATAAGATTTCAACCAATGAAAACATTGGTAGGCGGGGCCTTCTCCGTGACCTCACATTTTCAGAACAAAATGACAACAGTGAAAACGGCCTCCGATGAAGGCCGTTTTGTTGTTGTAAAGAGGAGTTGCAGCAGATTTTGGACGCTAAACGTAGCTTAAATACAAAATCTGTTATAAAGACTGCCGTGAATTCACTTCAATCTTATTTAACAGAACGGAATGCCGGAAGGGTCATGCAAGCTCTTTAAAAACAAAGTGGATAGGACTACATCTACTGTAGATATGGTAGGAAAACAATGATGACTATGAGATTCAGTCTATAAAAACACTTCTTGAATGCTAGAAATGAAGATATCATCAACGACGATGCATACAGTACTTTCAATTGAATTTTTTCACTTTCAGTCTTTGAAATTGTAAAAGGAAATGAATAAATAACTTCATTTGTTAAATTGCCTTTACTGGGTGAATCATTTGTTGTTGTTATAATAAAACAGTTATAGAATGGGTAATTCGGGAAATAGTAAATTTATGGTCACCTTTGCTGAAAAACTATTCCCCTCGATGGCTTCGCCGCCTCGGGAAATAGTTTTTCACCTAGAGGGACCATAAATGTGCTATTTCCCTCATACCCATTCTATAACTGTATAATAGACACACGGAAATATATGACGGCTACTTCCGACGGGAGAAATTTGTTACAAATTGTTTGTTCTGATTTTTTTTAAATACAGTTTTATGTTGCTAGTTTCTTGTTTCCATAAGTAGATTGTAAACATGTTTATGACAGTCATCCGTAATTTCAACAGTTTTCTGCCGATATGAGTACGAAATCGCGGTTGCTTCTCAAGTGCGCGGAAACCGGTAACACCGGGTTCCGTTTCTGAGAAGAGATATCTCCCCATCTCAGAGATAACGTAGTTGCGAGAAAAATGATAAACATCACAAAAAAGCATGAGAGATGCACCATGTTTTTTTTTTTAATTTGAAATTAAATGAAAAACATCGTCATGTCATATTCAATACTGACTTCCGACTCGCAATCGTTTCCTCGTGGTCACGCACTGTCGAACACCCAAATGTCCGTCTGGGTAATCCCTGTGACATTAAACTTGCACATTAAACCCAAAGAAGGTTGTAATGACACAGGACACTTCATCCATCAATTTATCATCATTTACATCTGCAGGTTTTTTGGCAAACAGCATATCTTACGGGTGTCCTGGATGGTTACTATGGCGACCGATGATTTATAATAATAATAATAATAATAAACTTTATTTATTGAGGATACAAAACCTGTTTAGCAAAGCTAATCTTCCACAGAGTCCTCTGTTAGTAAAATTGGTTAGTTAAAAGACAAAGTAGTATCACAGCAAATAAATGTACATAAAATAATTGTTGGTCTACTAAAACAGCAATTCATATCACAGTTATTTCATAATTTAAACGGTCGTTCAATACAATTACAATAAAATTATCACAGAAGCACGAAATATATTCCGTGCTTAACCCATTATGGTTTTCATTAAAAGACAAATTGTCTAATTTACATATATGCTAATGTAGCAAAAGCTAAAAATTGACAGAATACACGCTAATATAGCGAAAATAAAACAAATCAAAGCTGTATCTAAAAAGTATAATAGTAAAAATAAAAGACAATTAAACCGCATTCTTAATGTTACCAATCATATTTTGTTTGAGTTTTGTCAAGGAGGAAGAGAGTCTTACTTCAACCGGTAAATTATTCCAAATCTGGCTCCCTTGTACCAAAAAGTGTTTGGAATAAAATGTGGTACGGTGTTTGGGTACCTTGACAGAGTTTTGGGATGCTGATCTAGTATATCTGTTGTTAGACAAATTAAATTGATTAGAAAGGTATCCTGGAACCAGATTATTTATACATTTGTACACCATAACACCTCTTTTGAATTTCAAATATTTGCCAATTGGTACAATGATTTGAAATAGTGCGGACATAAACTTTCTATACACCCGTCTGACGGGAGTATTATGGTATGGCGTCGTCCATCCGTCCGACGTAAACTTTTTTTGTCCGGCAATCTCCCCCTACAGTTTTCGACTGATCTCTTACATTATAATCATGATATGAAATTTTCGACAATGTTTCCAAAAGTTATTTCCCTTTGTTCATTTCAGTATTTGATTTTTTGTCCGGAGATCTCCTCCTACATCTTTTTTTCATGTGCATTGCGGCCATGAATAGCAGTAGCTGATCTAACGCGGCGCTCCAGAGGATATGTAGATCAGCTACTGCTATTCATTGCCGTAATATACATGAACACAAAATCCATTCGCTATCGTAGTTATCTCTATGTTTGGTATGAATTAGGTGTTCATTTTATTGCAAATCAGATTTGAGCAATAAAGTTCTTGGTGAAAACGTCGTCTCGCCGATCCATTTTGGCCTTCATTACGACATCTTTAATTTCATTCTAACTTGGTTCCTTGGTGTCCAGCAAAATCTCTGGAGGTTCTTAACTTCTTATGCCACTACCCGTTTGCTCGTTTTTGCGGAATGTGTTTTTTAATCGAAGAGCATTTCATTCAATAATATTCATTTTATTACGTTAGATCAATATCTTCTCGGTCAAAAGCAAAGTGAAACGGTTGTAAAACAGAATTAAATGTTACAACTCCTACACCCATAAGGAAAAGGTAAGTTTAAACGGGAAAGGATCTCCCAGTGTGCATCGAGACGTTCCCCAAAACGATATCGTTTTGGCTAGGAAACCCAGCTTAGCGATGTATACGTCGACCTAAGCCATATAGATTTGTTAATTGGCGGAAATGAACCATCTTGTAATATCCGTCCTGATTGTTTCTATCAGTATTGCTAGACCATATCAAATCTGGACCAATAGTGTCAAACTTTAACAAATATTGACCAATCGTATTTAATCTTACTGAATGAAGACCAATAGCTGTATATGTTGCTAGGTATTAGCCAAATGTTGTTAGATCATTACAGAATCATGAGTATAAGCTTAACATGAATCGTGAGCGAAAATGCTAAAACTGAATATATCTTATTTAAACATTTTCGTGGGGTTGTTTTGTAAAAATCTATGTCCTTTAGAATATAGAATAAATATTTCAGTTTAAAAAAAGGACATAAAAAGTTTGAAGTGTTTTTGTTTTTGTATTGATCACAAAGAGTAAAAGTTTATGGGTGACGTTTCAAAGATTAGTACTGTATGTACCTTCCTATCACCTTCATCAGACAAATGATCATTACAGCGTTAGTATTGTACGAACCTTCCCATCACCTTCATCAGACAAATGATCATTACAGCGTTAGTATTGAACGAACCTTCCTATCACCTTCATCAGACAAATGATCATTACAGCGTTAGTACTGTACGTACCTTCCTATCACCTTCATCAGACAAATGATCATTGCAGCGTATGTATTTAAAATTAGGTGTAAAATATGTATGAGTTGCCAATAAAAAAACCAATGTCTATATGGATATGCTAAAATCGTATTATACACTTCGTTTTTGCCCATGTACGTAATGTCGAATCAAACCGACAATCCGATTCGACGACTAGGTTTTTTTCATTACCTAGTCTGGTGTGTGTTTCCGTATCCTTTTGGTGTGCAATAAGTCGGAACCCAAATCGCCATTCCGATTTTTCCGATACATGATGCGCCACAGTTTTTGCATACAATTTTGTACACGCATTCTGCTCTGCTCTTTTGGTGTATTTTCCTTAGGTTGCCCAAGGATACTGGGAAGATCTTCATGACTGCTTCCATGTCATTACCGCGATGTATGCTCTGGTAGGTTTCGGATATTCCTTTTAAATACGAGATGACGACTTGACCTTTCATTTTCTTCTAATTCTTATTTGGCCCTTTCTTGTACTTTCCCGAACTTTATCACTGCTTTTGTACCCTTTTGAGAGAAAATTCCGGATACCCACATGTTTTCATTGCATCATCGATTTGATTCTACTCTTGTATTTTGCACTAAAGTACGTCTTATACAAACGGTGGTTGGTTTGGAGTACGTCTTATACAAACGGTGGTTGGGTTTGGAGTACGTCTTATGCAAACGGTGGTTGGTTTGAAGTACG